AAATGTGCACTTTAAAATGGTTAAGGTGGTAGATTTTGTTATATGCTTTTACCAGAATTAAAAGTAATTTCATAATAAAAATTTAAAAAGGAATTCCTAAGTATTGAAAATAAAATGTAGTGAACCTAGTTATATACGTCCAGTTAGTAGTATAAGCACAGAGAAACTATTTCAAGTAACTTTTAAAAACAATGGTTGTACTATACATAACCTAGAAGCAAAATAACAACCAAACAGAAAAAAAACAGAAAAACTTTTAACTATTTTCAGTAATTATACTGTTGGTGGTAATGTTGGTATTGCTATTCTAGGTATTGTGGGATAAAGCAATGAAAATAGACTATAACATAATTACTAGCGTCCCTAGTGACTCTGAGACCTGGGAGTGGTAGTGTGGGAAGAAGGAGATACACATATATAAGAGAAAGGAGGTCAAGTAAAAGCCCTACATCCTGAATATAAACTAGAGCTATAAGCATAACATATTTTGACTTTAAAAACAAAAAAAATACCCCATATACATATTTCCCTGATATAACCACTAAAAAGGTCTATAAACAGTTACCATCTTGGTGGCAAGTGCACCCCTAGCACCCACACTGCTCCACTAAAAGGGAACCAGGGGTCCTTGTACTAACAGCTGATTTCAGGTCTGGAGCAGGAAATGTACCAGACGAGTCCAGAACACTTTCTTGTGCTAGACAGCAAAGAAGCTATCACAACCAATTAGACTCAGATCAAAATTACTTGGGAATCAACCTGAAGATGTTCACATTAGTTAAAGGTGGGACAACCTGAAAATCAATAAGAATAAAAGCTACAATGGATTGAAATCATCAAATGCTTGAATTCTTGCCTTCATAATGATTTTTAAAAAAATAATTGGGCACTATGAGAAGATGCCAAACAACCAATTCCTTATTTTGAAAACTTGTAAACAAAGGAAAAGAATCAAGTTTTAATCTTGCCTTTCCTATGTAAACTGTCTCATTGAGTAATAAGAGATGAGGGGAAATTTCTCTTTAAAGATGGACTTACACTAATAAATAAAGCATAGGAAAGTGAAAAGACAACCCATGGAATGGTAGAAAATATTTGCCAACCATGTATCTGATAAGGAACTTGTATCTAGAATATACAAACTCTAACAATGCAGTAACACAAAGATAATACAATTTAAAAATGCACAAAGGATCTGAATAGACATTTCTCCAAATAAGATGTACAAAGAATCAGTAAGCATATCAAAATATACTTGAAATCATTAGTCATCAGGGAGATGCAAAGCAAAACCACACCTGCTAGAATGGCTAGGAAAAAACTCAGATAAAAACAAGTGTTGGTGAGGATGTGGAGAAATCAGAACCTGCTTACACTTGCATACACTTGCTGGAGGGAATGGTGCAGCCGCTTTGGAAAAGGGTCTGGTTATTCCTCAAATGGTTAAACATAGAGTTGTCATATGACCCAGCAATTCCACTCCTAGGTGTATATTTAAAAGAAAGAAAGACTTATATCCACACAAGAACTTGTACACAAATGTTTACAGCAGCACTATTCATCATAGACAAAAAGTGAAAAAACACCAGATGTCCATCAACACATGAATGGATAAACAAAATGTGGTATACCTATACAATGGACTATTATTAGGTCATAAATAGGAATGAAGTACTGATGCATGCATCACACAGGTGAACTTGAAAATATTAACCAAAGTGAAAGAAGCCAATTATAAAAGACTACAAATTATATGATTCCGTTAATATGAAAGTCTAGAAAAGGGAAACCTATAGAGACAGAAAGTAGAATAGTGGTTACTCAGGGCTGAGCGGAGTGAGAGACAGCTAAAGGGTACAGGATTGCTTTCTGATGTGATGAAATATTCTAAAATTGTGGTGACGGTTGAATTTGTCTGTGAAGATACCAAAGCGCCACTGAATTGTACACTTAAGATGGATGAAGTGTATGGTATGTGAATTATATCTCAATAAAGCTGTTTTAAAACAATAAAAGAAAATGAAAGAAAACAGTAATGATAAAATTAGAATATCTCATTTTGCAACCCCTAATCAACTAATGGATATAAGTATCCAGCTACAGCATCACAGAGAGAGGAGCCATACATCTGGGCCTCCTGAAGGGTTTAGTCTACTTCTCTATGAAGTAGACTAAACCTGTATTTGATTAAACCTCTAAACCTAACTATTTACAGGAAATACAGAGGAAAAAGGAGCATGGTAAAGAACGACAGTAATGAAACAGCAAAATCCCCAAGACTGTCAGAAACTGTTAACAGAAAAGCAATCCAGTTTCTTCAACACATAAATTGCAAGGGAAAAAAAGAGATAATAGGAAACCTATAAATAAAAACAGACTTATAAGACATGACAACTAATTCCAATGTGTGGAACTTATCTAGATCCTGATTGTTTTTTAAGTGCGAAAAAGAACAATCATTTATGACATTTGAGACAACTGAAATTTTAACAATGACAGGATATGTAATATGAAAGAATTATTATTAATTTTTCAGATGTGAAATGGTCTTGTGATTATATTTTAAAAAAAGAGTCCATATCATTTAAATTCATATTAAAATATGGGGTATTTAGGACTTGCTTCAAATAATGTGAGTGGGGGAAGTAGACAGGCAAAATTGGCCATACACTGATGGTTTGTTAGGGGTAGGTAATGGGTTCAGGAGAGTTTGTTATACTCTTCTTTTTTTTTTTTGTATGTTTAAAATCTGCCATAAAAGATTTTATTAAATCTCAGATAAGCTTAAAAAAAAAAAAGAGGAAAAAAATTCCCTACTATAATGAATAGCTATTAAGAAAAGAATAATACACCTAATAATTCCTAATTAGGTATAAAGAATAATACACCTAATAATTAGGAATTAGACATTCCTAATCAGGCATTCTGTCCCTGAAGTAGGTATAGAGACAATATTTAAGATGCAGTTACCGTAATTCCAGCAGGAAACACTAAAGACATTTTGAAAAATGGTATGAATATCATTCTCTACCCTCACCATCTGCTGCTATAATGAAACATACCAGAGTGCCTGACCTCTTTGTATGTCTCTGAACAGGAACATCTACTGCACGAGGCAATATCTGTTTAGAAGAAGAGAGCTCAGGGTGAAGGTACAGCAGAGAGAGACACGACCACAAAGTCTTCTGCATCGCAGTACCTGAAGCAGATCCCCAGGGTATTAAAAAAAGCATACAGATTTTTCAAATTCAAGAAGCACATGATTTAAAAACAAAAACAAACTGAAAAGCCACAACTCTCTGTATACTAAGACATCTCTGCATGTTAGAAAATTATAGGAGGGAAAAATGAAGTTGGTTAAAATAGCTTATCATAGGGACTTTTTTTTATTTTTAAAATGCTCAAGGACATTTGAGAAGATGGAAAGATAAGAACTCGTTTTAGGACTGATCATTAAATACTTAGCATGAGATTTTCTTCTAATCTGTTAGAAGCAAAGAGCCAGAAATAGCTAAGAAAAATGTGTGGGAAGGCAGAAAAGGAGTCCAAGGACTAAGAAAAGTATGACAGCTCAGACACTCCACAACTGGCCTATGAGATACAGGAAGAATCAAAGAGGAAACATCTATTGTCACCAAATCTTCAATGAGCCACTGTCATCATTATGAAAATACCCAGAGGCCTCTTTGTCACTTTATCTAGACACAAGTTTTCTTACTTTAACACTTTTGTTAATAGACACTTATTTTTTTCCGAGGAGTTTTAGATTTACGGCAAAATGGAGCAGAAAGTAGTGTTTCCATATACTCCCACTCCTCTCCCCGCCCCTCAGTAACAGCCTTCCCCCACTATTAACATCCCAAACCAGAGTGGTACATTTGTTACAATCAATGAACCTACATTGACACATCATTGTCACCTAAAGCCCACCGTTTACATTAGGGTTCACTCTCAGTGCTGTACATTCTATGAGTTTTGATAAATGTATAATGTATCTACCATTATACTATGATACAGAATAGTACTGCTGCCCTAAAAATCTCCTGCACTCTGCCTCTTCATCCCTCCTTTCCCCAAACCCACTACAAATACTTCCTAATACTTTAAAAGTGACCAAAACAGGCTGGAATGAGCATTTTTGGTCCTCAAGGAAAGAAATTCCTAGAGTCTACAGTAATAATGCTGGTCCCTTAGAGGTTATATTAACAGCTTTTCTCCCTTTATTATGTACAGATACAGATTGTTGTTGTTTCTAACAATTCACCAAAGCTTATTTCCTAAATTATTATTATTATTTTTAAAACTTTTGCAATGTACTGGCAACGCAGCATTTCTTGACAGTAATATCCACTTGTCCTCTGCTTGGACTGACTAAAACGCTTTTAAAAATCCAGTAAGCTTTTAAGAGAACCCAACTTGTTTTCTGCAGTTGTCAAAAGGCAAATCCAGGCCTTGGGCAGTGGCTTTTATTTTCCATCTGCACATTTTAACAATATAGCTTACAAACCTCTAAAGAAAACATCTGTTGATTTTTGACCCACATCTCCACACTGCAGTTTTTAAATAACTGGTTAAAGACGTCTCTCCAACCATTTAGAAAACAGGTTCTCTTGAAAAATGAGAGAAGAAAAGAAAAGAGAAGAGAAGAAAAGAGAAGAAAAGAATAAAATGAACCACCTCACTGAAAGCCTCTGGAGCTTTGGGGAGTTCCAGCCAGTTATAGCAGGAAGAAGTAATTCACTGTAATTGTCCCAATGAAGAGATAGAAAACAAAGATAAAATTTGAGCTGTATTCTATTTTCAGAAACTAAAGGAGGTCATAAGCTTCCCCTTATGAAAATAAGTTAAATCTTATAAAAATTAAGAAAGGAAAATATTTCAGGACCTGCAATCTTAGGTTCTGTCAATTTCCTTGCACCAATCAGTTGTGATGGAAATATCATTCCCAGGGATGCTGTGCTCTTCCATCAAACCCAGTACTTCTTAAATGGCAGGTTTTAATTTTCTGACCCCAGAGAAAGGCATGATATAAGATGAGCAATTACCTTTGATTTTTCTTCATTTTCTCTATAAAATTCTGCCATCTGTTCCTCCTGCTCTTCAATAACATCCTTGAGGGTATCTACTTGGTATATCAAATTGTTCTTCTCATTGTCTAACTGTGCATTGGAAACCATGGCTTTCTTGTATTTTTCTTCCACTTCAGACAAAGACTCCTAAATGAAAGTCAAAGTCATCAGCCTAATATCTAAAATATGTTCATTGCCTATATGCCATATAACAGGAAACTACAGCACTGGCACAAACACATGAAGATGTATTTTTGCAAAATAAAAGCAGTTTGGGGAACCCTTTGTTTAGTAACATGCACATAAAACAGGAGGATGACAATAAGCCAAGAACGCATCATTATAAGCACTTTATGGGCTCTCTGCTATCCAAAACAAATTCAAGCAGCAGTGCAGCCTCTGAAAGACGAAAAGGTGTGCAGACAACATGTAAGAGTCATAGTGTAAAAATCATAAAATACAGAATCATTAATGGTTTCAGAAATGTTACTCCTGTAGTTTTTAACAACAGCTATTTGCAACAGAATACAGATACAACAGAAGACAGCCTCTCTTTACTCAAGTAAATTTCATACTTATTTGAATTGCACCACTTCCTGGACCTGTGTTTTCAGTACTTTCTTGGTCTGCATAACATTAATGTAAATGTATAAACATTTTGTCTAGCAACTTCAAATATTAGCCATTTTTAAATAAGTAAGCAATATAAAAACTATTAAGAAAAAAGAGCTACCACTCAATGCCTAAATTTTTATATACTTCAAAGTTTTCTGCCTAAAGTAGCTTACAGCCTGTTTCTTAATAACTACATCTATTTTGGTAGATTACTACTACCTAGCAGTATTTTTAAAACTAAAAAGAAAAACATTTCACATAGAAAAAGTCATCACTTCTGGAAGTAAATTTTTATTTTATTTAAAAAAAATTTTTGGCCATGCGGCATGCAGGATCTCAGTTCCCCCAACCCACACCCCTGCAGTGGAAGTGCAGTCTTAACCACTGGACCACCAGGGAAATCCCTGGAAATAAAATTTTAAAATATTAATGCAAATGTTTAACAGAAGATCAGTGATATAGAACTGAGAGTCCAGAATCCTTACATTTATGATCAACTGATATTTGACAAGGGTGCCCAGACAACTCAGTGGGGAAAGAGTAGTTTTTTCAATAAATGGTGTTGGGACAACTGAGATCCACATGCAAGCGAATAAAGTTGGACTCCTACTTCACACCAAACACAAAAATTAACTCAAAATGGATCAGAGACCTAAATTAAAAGCTAAAACTATAAAATGCTTCCCAGAAAACACCGAGTAAATCTTCATGACTTTGGAGTGGGCAATGGTTTCTCAGATATGATACCAAACTATCAATGAAAGAAAAAGTAGACTTTATCAAAATCAAAAACTTTTATGCTACAAACAATACCACCAAGAAAGTAAAAAGACAACCCACAAAATGGGAGAAAATATTCGTAAATCTTATATCTGATAAGGAACTTGTATCCAGAATATATAAAGAACACTTAGAAATCAATAATTAAAAGACACATCATTCGATTTTAAAATGGGTAAGGATATGACCAGATATTCCTCCAAAGATGGTGTACAAATGGACAATAAGAATACAAAAACTTTCTTAATATAATTAGTGATTAGGGAAATGCACATCAAAACCATAATGAGATACTACTTCAGATCTACTAGGATGGTTATTATCTATCAAAAAATGAGAAACAAGATAAGTGTTGGTGGGGATATGAAAAAACTAGACTCCTCATACATTGCTGGGAAGAAGGTAAAATACTGCAGCTACTTTGGAAAACAGGTTGGCAGTACTTCAAAATGTTAAACATAGAGTTACCATATGACCCAACAATTCTATTGCTAGGTAATCTACCCAAGAGAAATGAAAAGATATGTCTATACAAAAAGCTGTACACAAATGTTTACAGCAGCATTATTCATAATAGCCCCAAACTGGAAACAATCCAAATGCCTATCAACTCACAAATGGATAAACAAAATGTAGTAAATCCATATAGTGGAATACTACTCATTTTATACACACACACACGTACGTGTGTGTGTATATATATGTACATATATGTATACACACATATGTATACATATGTGTGTATACGTGTATACACACACACACACACACACACTGATGTGTTTTATAACACGGATGAATCTTGAAAACATTATGTAAAGTAAAAAGCCAATCACGGGCTTCCCTGGTGGCACAGTGGTTGAGAGTCCACCTGCCGATACAGAGGACACGGGTTCGTGTCCTGGTCTGGGAAGATCCCACATGCCGCAGAGCGGCTGGGCCCATGGCCTGTGCTGCTCCACAACGGGAGAGGCCACAACAGTGAGAGGCCCGCGTACAGCAAAAAAAAAAAAAAAAAAAAGCCAATCACGAAAGACAACATAGACTAGTGGTTACCCAGGGCTAGGTGCAGGAGTGGGAGTGATTAGTATGGGGTTTCTTCTTGGGGTAGTGAAAATGTTCTAAAATTGGTGATGGTTGCACAATTCTGTGACTATGCAAAAAAACCCCACTGAATTGTACTAAATTTAAATGGGTAAATTTTATGGTATGTGATTTATATCTCAATAAAGATACACACAAACACATATGCATACACTTAATAATTCTTCACAACCCAGGACTGTATTAACAGGTAAGATTTATATTATGATTGAGAACAAATGTACCCAAAATAAAGAATATAAGCCCAGTTAACTGTATAATGGTTCAAATATAGTAGGTATCTTAACACAATGCAGAATTCAGAATGATTCTCATCCATCTCAGAGACTAATAGCAAAAAAAAAAGTCCTCCTCACAACTCAGTCCCATACAAAATGGGGCATGACTGCACGAACACCAGAATCTGAGACAGTTCAGGCAGTAGCTGCAAGGACACAATATATAACATAATAAAACTGACATAAAATGTATGGAGTGTACCTTTTCCTTTAAACAAAAGACCACAGAAGACTATTTTAAACTTAAGTGTCAAGGCAGTTTGTTGTTGTTGTTTTGGCCACACGGCTTGCAGGGTCTTAGCTCCCCAACCAGGGACTGAACCCTCAGCAGTGAAAGATCGGAGTCCTACCACTGGACCGCCAGCGAATTCCCTCAAGGTAGTTTTAATGATTTTAATCTAGCTCACACAGTGATACCCATAAGGAATGAGTTTTACTTAAACGTGTCTAAGGCAGCGATGTTCAGTGTAGGTGCTGGACTAGAAGCAACAGCATTATCTGGGACCTGGTTAAAAACACAAATTTTCAACCACTCCGTCCTAGACCTACTGAATGAGAAAATCTGGGAGTAGAGTCCAGCAATCTGTGATAACAAGACCCAGGTGACTGTGGAGGGAGGGTAGAGGGGGGAAAAAGCACCTCAAAGGCAGACATACTTAAGAATAATGTCATAAGTAATGACTGAGCATCCTTTTTTTAAAAGAATATAGATATATCACACCACCATGCTTTGACCACCAACCAGATAATTTTTTAAAAGATTTTTTTCCATTTAAAAGAGTCATTTCAAGGATAAACATAATTTGAAGTCAAGTTCAATTATACACTAACCATGAATTAAGAAAAGGGGACTTATCTGTTCAGAGTCTCAAATAAGGTTAATCTGTTTTTTGTATCTTTCAAAAAATGAAATGGTAGATCTAAAAGGTAAGGGGAAAATGTTTAAGATAAAATAAAAAACGAGTAAGAATGTCTTTGAATCACTTGCTTTCCTGATACATTATGTTACGTACGAGACTTTAAAATGAATGTATTTATTGAATGTACTGGATTTGTTCCATTGATCTAAGATATTTCCAAGTCATATCTCTAAAACCTTAAAAGGGGGATTAAATCCTGAAGATGAGAGCAGTAAGACTAACTGAGCACATCAGCTCACTAACTCTGGGATCTTCCTGATGTTTACCGACAACCACACACTGTTGTCAGCAGTGTCCAGGCTTCCCGGGGGCGCTCTCCATAGGCCTTCCCACCCTTTCTGGACCATAATCCCCTGCATGAAGTTTCTGGCTGGTAGCTGGGCTAAGTCCAATCATGCTTGGCGGCTGAGCAAAGCCTTGACCATTAGGTCTACACTCTGTCCTTTGAGCATATCCTGAGTCACCTTTCTGAATGCCCTGCTTACGCATTTTTAGAGGCCTGGTGTGTATTTCTATTTCAAATAGGGACCTACATGTATTCAGAGAAACTTAGAGTAATTCATAATACTAGGTTTGAACTTCATAAGAAAACATAGGGAAGAGCATGAAAATCAAGTGCCATTTACAACTAAAATGTCTGCCTCACATGGACACTTCTACTGAAAACTGGTAGCCATCCTTGACTGGAAGAAATAAGGCCCATTTAAATTTACCTCCAAATGCTTTAAGGCACCGAATCTGTGTAACCCTTTTTGATCTATGTGAAAAACAATCAAAAGAAAAAGAAAACACAGTGCTCATGCTTCAGGGTCCTTCCTCCAGAAGGAATATTTATAGTAATGCTCTTTCTCTTAGATGCTTCTTCCTTCTACTCCTAATACTGACTGAATTTGGTGACAGAAACAGGCAATGCTCTTTCATTTAGCTTGGAAGAATTTTAAGGTCTAATTCTCAATAAAAAATATTCTTAGAACACTTTTTAGGGTTTTGCCCAACTCAATTTTGTAAGGCTAAGACACAAGGGATACGTAAGTATTTTATAAGGTTTAAAAACTGTAAGGCATAATATCTTTTCCTGAATATTCCAAAAACTACAGTACACATTTAAACATAAGCAGAGATTGGAAGTTCGCCTTTCCTATGCATTGCAGGTTAAGCACATGCTTGAAAGACAAACACTGTTAGTAAAGCTATGTGCAGTGGGGTTAATAGAATTTGTGAAACCACCATTACCAACACTTCTGCGTACAGAGAACATGCTTGGGCTGCAAAATGGGCCCTGATACCTTTAGTTCCTTAAGCCCCTGCATGTATCTCCCTTCTACATCCTGTATCTGGTCCTTAAGGTCATAGATATCCTGCAGGACATAGGAATGAACCATTGCATAAAACCACACACAAAGTCTCAAAGGATTCAGATGAAAATGTGAATTACTTTTGCATATTCCAGACTAAAAGCAGAGAAACTGAGGTACACAAACGTAACTGCCACTGCAAACTGCTAAAAGGGGCAAACAGGCAAGTGATGGTGGGGCTGGGGAAGGCCTGGAGTAATCATTCTAACATATCAAATACTTCCTTGACATTAACTCCTGTGGAAAAAACATTAGCAAATGGGGCTGGGGCTGTGTACAAAAGCTATATAACATTTTTTAACATACAATTTAAAAAACTGTATCAATCATTCAAATAATTTTTAGCATAACACTCCACCGATAACTAGTAAAATATGCAGTAAATTAATTATAAGCTGAATTTGAGTCATGCAGAAGTTTTAAAAAATGTAAAACTAGATATGAACAAAGTTGTCTTTCAATGACTTGGTTACTGACCACAATTAATTTGGGGGAAAGATAGGTAAAGGGAGGGGTATTAAACAAATATTTTAAACACAGTGTCAAATGAGAGAGTCTATCCTGAGGACATCATTTAAATGATGAGAAAAGCCTTTGCTCCAAATGTTACCATAATCCTTATTAAAAAAGTGAAGCAGGCCAAATTTTAAATGGAAAATATTGTTTCCCTTGTACCCGACCTTGCTACATGAGGTCTATTCTGGATGGTTGATTTAGGGGGGAAATAATTCTACAGGGCCCTGAACATAACTGTACAATTACAGGCAGGATCAATTATCAAAGGCCCATCACACAGAGTTTCTATATTATATATCTCCCCTGCCCGCTTCATTCCCTCCTTGGTAGGTTTGTCTTTTATTCATTGGTTCATTCGACAGACATTTATCAAGTGCCTATTAGGAGCCAAATGCTAGGATACAAAAATCTCATTTCCTTCAAGGAGGTTGTTCTCTCAAAGAAGAAATACAAGTAAACAGCGAGCACAAGCTCAGTCTGAGGCTGGAATGCCCATCCTTTTGTCCCACTAGAAAATAGCACCTAAAGGCAAGAGTTAAGCTTATTCAACGTTGCACCCTTGTGCTTATGCCTGGTACTTAGGAAGAGTTCAATAACACTGACCCCTTCAAAGTCAGAGCCAGGCTGACCTGGGCCTCCTTCTGCAGTGCCGCTGCCGCTGTTCCAATCCTCACCCTCTCCTAACCTTCAGCCCACTTTTATGAGCTGCCCATTTCACAAGCCAGACTCCTGCTCCTACCCCGCCCACAATCTTACTCAGTCCCCACCGGTCCCTCCCTCCTCCTCTACTGTGTCAGTGGGAAGGGGCGGCCACCTTCCATCCATCTGATCCCTGGACATTCCTCTCACCCACTCAGGCACTTTCTCAGTCAGCTACCCCTTCTCCTTCCTTAACCTTCATAGTCTCTCTCTACTGGCTCAATCCAACCAATGAAAACAACAACTAATGCTGCCTTTAAAAGAACACAAAAACCTCTTAACTTCCTCTCTCTCTGTACTGACCAAACAACTTCCATTCTCCAATACTCTCTTCAGAGCAAGTTGCCTACATTTTCTCCCATCACAGTTTTGACTTGCTCATCTCATCCCCATTGTTCAACCACAGGGTAACTCTTCTCCTTGCCTCCAATGCTTCTTCCAGTCTGTGGTCAATCTTTAGGAATGCAAATCAGATAGTACCGCTCTGCTATTTAATATCCCCTAGTTGTCAGGGTAAACCTGAATTCCTGCCACACAAGGTGCTTTGTGATATGGCCCATCACTACTTCTCCAGCCTTCTCTCTCACCCACTACGAATCCTTACTTCTCATCCTACCCTCTGGCAACTTTGCTATACAGATAATCTTGTGGGTCTCTGAATTTAACTATCTGAGAAAGCCTTCACCCTTCAGCTTCTTTGCCTGGTTAATTTTTATTCTTCCTTCACCCCTTGTCTCCTCCGAAAAGCCTTTTTCTAAATCTCTTCTTCTAGTCTAATTTAGATGATGCTTCTCTGAATTCCCTTAACAGCCCTGTTCTTGCTACTACCATGGCATCACACCACCTGGTTTTACTGGTTTATATCCATTTGTCTTCCCTATGAAACAGCAAACTCTTTAAGTCCAAAGTGTGCTTTACTGCCTGACTCTGTGGGGCCAAGGGCTCAACAACGTTGAACGAATGAATAAATGCAATTTTTATTACTGCCCTTCCCTCGTTCCTCAAAAAGAGCATGTTCAGCAAATAGACATTCAGATACATTTTGAAAGGGTTATTAATAAGAATGGAGACTCAACTAATGGGTTAAATGAGCTTACATTACTCAGGTACTTCTGTCATCCCAAATATTATTATACTTGTCTTATCATGACACACTGAGAGATAACTGTATTCAGGCAGCCAAATAACACCATAACGGCTCAAAAGACTAATAATTCCCCAAATCTGGCTCCTTGTACATCCACATATTTTCCATTTAAAATATGGCCAATTATTTGAGAGAATTACTTTTATATACATTAGAAAGACTTTTTGGCATTTGTAAATTAGCAGAACTCATTCCAATATCATCAAATGTTCAGGAAAGAGAATGGAAGAATTCACTGATCTCCTTCCCTTCAGACCCTAGTCACATTCTTGAACTGCACTAACAATTTTTTTTAAAGAACTCATACCATACTTTTTTCTTCCTACCAAGACACATTAAATGTTAAATAGTTCCACTAGACTACAAAGAAGCCAAAAAACTTTATAAAAAGCAAACCAAAAATCGCGGTTTACCCGCAATTCACTTAATGAGGTGTCTGGATCTATTAAGCTGCTGGTGTCCCCGCTTCCTCGTCTGGATGAGTTTCCACTTAGAGGGGTTGTTGCTGAGGCAGAATTTCGAGATGAAGGCTAGAGAAAAAGAAATACGGCACTTTTAAGTCTTGTTTCTTTAAAAATATATTTGCTGTGGAAACTAAAAGTGGGCCAGGGTGGTGGGGAGAGATCTAACACAGTGTGGACAAGAAGTTACCGAATGCAATCCACAGGCAATTTAGATTGGCTCTGGGGAGAGGGTACCCAGAGATGGGCCCAGGCATACTAAGCACATGTGTTCGCTGGCTTTACTGGAATCTAGAATTCATAATAACTAAGAAGGAAATGGTTCGTGTGAGAGTTGTCTGTTTTCTAAGTTTATCTTTGCTGTATTGTAAACAGCACTGGGGTGAGTACATCTGCTTGATTTTAAACAGTTTTAGAATGTTATACTTGGTATGCTAATTAGCAGTCCTCCTATTTAGTTCCTGAAGCTGCTTCTTTAGAATCTTTTCTTTTCCTAATATTTTGCTGATAAAGTTGGAGATACTATTTGCAGCTGACAGCAACAATACCGTGTATCACTATGAATTTAGACTGCTCTTCCCACAATGAGTTTAAATGCGATATCATGCTACTGAATTAATAAATGGCAGGGATTTGTGCTATTCAATACAGCAGCCAACTAGCCACATGCAGTGATTGAGCACTTGGAATGTGGTTAGTCCAAATTGAGAATTTTTTTTTTAGGTGTAAAATACACACCAGATTTCGAAGGCTTAGTGTAGAAAAAAGAATGTAAAATATTTCATTAATAAGTTTTCATATTGATTATGTTTAAATATTTTGGACATTTGGGTTAAATAAAATATATTATTTGTATTAATTTTATCTGTTTCTTTTTACTATTTTAGTGTGGCTGCTAGAAAATTTAAACTTACATATGTGGTTTACATTTGTGGCTTGCACTGTATTTCTGCTGGATAGAACTGGTACACCTTTTGGGGGCATAGCACAAAATTAATCCTGATAATTTCCCTAAGATGACTTTCTAAAAATATTTCTAGAAGAAAGTTAGAGATTTTTTAAACACAAAGCAACTCCTAGAAAGGAGTTATTTTATTGTACTTCGAAGAATAATTTATCTATAATAGGAAAAAACCAAAACCCTCAGAGTTTGTCACCACCATTCCTAAAGACACTTCTTCATTTTCAGTGTTTAATGGCTTCTTCTAAGGATTAAATTCTAGAGGAATGAAAATCAAAAGAGCAGCCAAAAGTTTAAGAGGTGACATTCAAGGAAATAAAATGCAGTGTCTTTTCTCTTCCCAGGGCTTCACATGATTCAACCACAGAGGAATCTGGGGGTCAAGGACAGGAAGTGGATGAAGAGAGGAAGAGTAGCTCCATCAGTTAAACTGTTGTAAAATCAAGAATAAAATAGTAGTAGACAGTAAGTTATTGACCTTGAGAACTTAATTTCCTTAGGAATTTAGATACTCACCCTTGTGTAATTTTCAGCATATTGTTTGTCAGATTTTTCATCCAACTAGAAAAGAACAGAGATAAAAATCAGAAAAGATGCTTAGCATTTTGATTTTTTTATGGGGAAAAAAAAGAAGTGACCTCATTTGAGTTCTCCAAGTTCAATCGATACTTGGAACCTAAAAGCAAACATACTAAAACTGAAATAAAAGTTGGGACACATAAAACAAGATGTTAAGAACTTTAATTCTTATCTAAGGAAGACATGGAGTAAGCAAGCTGTCCTTATGAAAAAATTTAGAACGTTTACACAGATTTTCTTTTCATGGTATTTGAAACATATTAAAGAAAACTATATATTAAACTTAAATTTTATCATTGTAAAAGTTAACACGCACACACACAAAAGTGTATACATCAAAAAGAAAATTCTGATAAAACCAAAAGCCAAAAAACTTTATTATCTTAGCATTACTGACACAGGACACACAGATTAAGACTAGCATACTTAGACAAAAACGTTCAGGTTGGGCTAGAGCATGTAAAATATATCATCAAAAAAATTTCCCCACAGCGCTAAGGAAATTGGTTGCCTGGTTTTTGTTTTTGCTTTTTAAGTAATACACGCTCACGTATCCAAAAAAAGAGAAAAAAACAGCACAAAGGGTATGCAAAGTAAGCCTCTCTCTAGAGGTACACCATACCCAGATCTTCAAGGGCAACCTACACCCAGTCTTTAAAAAATTCTAACAGTAGTGTCCCAAATACATTCCAAATCTTCTTTTTCCCCTTACCATGTTTCAGAGATCAGAGAAAGTACTTTATTTTTATTCATGGCATTTATCACTCCCTGACCCCATGATATTTATTAACTTATTTAATAAATAAACTTATTTATTAATTGTCTGATCTCTCTCTCTTTAATGTAAGCTCTATGTCTGTATGTTCTTTTCTGTATTCCTAACATCAAGAATAGCACCTGGGGCTTACCTGGTGGTGCAGTGATTAAGAATCCGCCTGCCAATGCAGGGGACAGGGGTTCGAGCCCTGGTCCGGGAAGATCCCACATGCCACGGAGCAACTAAGCCGGTGTGCCACAACTACTGAGCCTGCGCTCTAGAGCCTGCGAGCCAAAACTACTGAAAGCTGTGTGCCCAGAGCCTGTGCTCCGCAACAAGAGAAGCCACCACAATGAGAAGCACGTGCACCGCAACAAAGAGTAGTCCCTGCTCACCACAAATAAAGAAAGCCCGCGCGCAGCAATAAAGACCCAACACAGCCAAAAATAAATAAATAAAAAAAAAAAAAAAAAAAAAAAAGAATAGCACCTGGCATACAGGACTCAAAATTTCTTGGATGAACGAATAAATGAATTATATCCCATATGTACTTATAGACTTACCTCATTTATTTTAACAGCTGCATAGTACCCTATTATCTGGACATACCATAATTGAGTTATCCTATCTTCTGCAGATAGGCCTTACAATTGTTTTAGTTGGCGTTTCAAGAAGGGAAGTACCTTAAAGGTTTAGTCTAAAACCCTGATTTTATAGCTGAGGAAAGAGAAATTCAGAGGTGAAAGATCTTGCTGAAGCATGCATAACTGCTAAATGTCAGAGCTGAATCCAGACCTCAGTTTTGTGAATTTTTCATATTATTTACCTGTATATACTGTCCAAATTACCACTGGGGGAAAAAAGTCACAGAAAAATTTAACTAAATGAAAATATACCCAGACTCCAACTCCTAGACCAACCCTCCCAGCCCAATCTAGAGAAGAGATTTGAAAACCTTCCTTAATTATTAAAACACAAAATGTCATTATTTCTGGCTCAGTTCAGATCACTTCACTCTAACTTCCTCATATTTGACAGTTTTTTCTGTTTTTTTTATTACCCACATTTGTGTTCATTTTCTGTCTCAGTAAACACCTTTTATTATAAGTACCAAGTCAGAATATAAATACTATCTCAGACTTCAAATTCTTTTTGCTACTTCTTACTGTAATACTCTTAAAAAAAAGGAACTGATTTTAGTTCATTTTGACTTCTTTAAACCACATATGAAATGTTTTAAAACAGGCGATGACAATAGTTTTTAATATTGGCAGTTATTGCCATAGAAAGGAATTATCTTCCTCACATCTATACTAGTAAAATATATTGCCTAATATTTAATGTGTTATTCCTCAGAGTGAAATAAATACCATATCTAAATAAAGTGACTTATTTTCCTTAGAGTATTTTCCAACTCTCTTCTACTAATGAGTTAAAGAGAAAAACAAGCAGCATTCAGAAACATTCTTCCAGGTCCATTTGAAACCCTGTCCCTTATCCCACTCTCACACAAATGACCCCCAAACCCACCCATTTTTTAATAGACAGTCACCTGAGAATAACCTTCCATTTCAGAGGCTGCATCGCTGACCCAGTCCACTGCAGGATTGATTCTGTTGCTTTCGCTATCTCCTGACAGATCCCAACTGCCGCACCTGCCCAAGCTGATCATGTGCCAAACTTCAGGGACTGTGGAGGTAGCAAAAATGCCTAGAGCCGCCCCGCTGCAGGGACTTGGCCAGAGACTCTTCAGTGCTCACTTTTCAGGCTCGTGCTGCATTATATGCAGCCTTCTGTTTAGACGAAAAGCTAGTTGAAACCTGGTATTCTAAAAGCCCTGGGAGGTCTACATAGCTGCATTGCAACGACAAGCTAGTGTTCAAAATGATGACCAAAAGAGTCTGCCAGATCCTCAAAAGGCTCTTAAGTGGAATAAGATATAATCATGTTTAATATACTAAGGTATAAAAGAGGGAAATGTTGGTAAAAGGGTACAAACTTTCAGCTAGAAGATCAATAAGGTCTGAGGATCTAATGTAAAACATGGCAACTACAGCTGATTTTTAAAAATTGTTATATATGAATAACATGGAAAAAATAAATATGCAATAATATGAAAAATCAGAAAACAAAGGCTATATGTACTATATAGTCACATTTTTGTAAAACAAGCAAAGTAAACTGAGATAGAGAAAAATACGGAAAATAAGTCATCAAATTGCTTTAAAAAAAAGTGTCTAAACAAAATGGTAGACTAAAATATAAAACAACAACAACAAAACAGAAAGCAAGGCTTTTTTCCTTAGTAAAGCCCTCAGGACTTGCTCATGAATACTGACTACAGCCTACTATTCTCAAAAACTTTCAAGTAAATATTATGCCATTACACTCCTAAATAATTAAATTGGTAATTTTCCAATCAAGAAAGGGGTTCCCTTGATAGCTGGAAATGGAAAGTTAGCTGACAGGCTTGTATCAATAATATTTCATATTCGTATTAATGCACAAAGAAGAGCACATGATGGCAAACTTTATTGCTTCTTTTAAGAATTTCAAATTATCAACTCGTAAACAAAGTCTTAAATATCATCTTTTCCATATTTCAGTGATAAATGCCTTTGCCTTATTTATGTCCGGGAAATCTGAAAATGCTTTGCTCTTGACATCAGAGTATAGATTGTTTCTCTTTAAATCTACACTCCTTATTTGTTGAAATTAGTACATGAGAAATATTTCTTAGAATACATATCTTGCCAAATCTTTGAAACCCTTGGTTTCTTCTTAAAAGAAAGATATTTCTTATTCTCTGATTAAGAGGCCCTTTGACCTTCATTTCAGCAAATGGCTACTCTGACAGATAATTTTATCCTACTAGAATGGTAAAATACAATTTGAACCTTTTTGAGTGGAAACAGAATTCTAGTTGTGAACACATTTTTTTTTTTTTTTTGGCTGCGTTGGGTCTTCGTTGCTACGCACGGGCTTTCCCTAGTTGTGGTGGGTGGGGGCTACTCTTTGTTGCGGTGCGCGGGCTTCTCATTGCGGTGGCTTCTCTTGATGCACAGCATGGGCTCTAGGTGCGCGGGCTTCAGTAGCTGTGGCTCGCGGGCTCTAGAGAGCAGGCTCAGTAGTTGTAGCGCACGGGCTTAGTTGCTCCGTGGCATGTGGTATCTTCCCGGACCAGGGCTCAAACCCGTGTCCCCTGCACTGGCAGGCAGACTCTTAACCACTGTGCCACCAGGGAAGCCCCGTGAACACATTTTAATACCATCATTTGAAAGAGTTGTTTAGAAATAAAGATGTATTTTATTCCAAATTTTTTTTGCTCTAGAGAGGGGTCCAACATATATTTTAGGCTTTGCCAAGAGGTAAAATTAAGGATATTATATAGGTACTTAGATAACCATTAGAAAACAAAAAACAAAGAAATCTTTGGCTGGTAGGCTATAAAATAACGGGGCTGGCCAGATTTGCCAACCACTGCTCTAGAGAAGCTTGTGCTTATGTTACAAGGTATACAGCATGACTCGATACACATATACACAGCCTATATACATGTATATCAAATCATTATGCTATATACCTTAAATATGTATACTTTTTATTTAAATATGTAGACAGATCAAAATAACTACCTGGCAAAAGAAAAGTTTTATTTAATTAGAAGAGGCAGCGGAAGACTAAAAAAAACTGTCAACCTTTTCACTCCTGTGTAGTTACTAAAATAAATTGCCAAGAAATAAACGTAAGGAGGACATAGCCAGTAATTCAGACATCACATTAGATGCTAAAAGAGTTCAAAGTTTTTAAGAGAAAAGGTGTATACAATAAATTAAATTGTTTATATCTATGAAAAAACAGGTTACTAAGCAAATTAATAAAATGGGCAATATTTCAAGGGAAGGACTTGGGAGCCAGTCTTCTAACTTTGTGTGCAGAGAGACTGTTGATGTGACCAAGGTCAAGATGGGACTGTTGCTCAGCCAGCCAGCTTCGAGCGCCAACAATCTGGAATACTTAAGGACAACACTCAAAATTGTTTTCTAGGATTAGTCATTCAGAAATAGCTATTTAAATACAATTGGTGACATGCTAAATATAAATAATTCTCTCTTCATTAAAAAACTGTCTAATTTTTTGTTAAGAAACCCTGACTCATCTGCTTCAAAGCGCTTGATAATCAGGACAGCGTTGGTCCAAGGGCAAACAACACTAATGCCAGTTACGGAGAGACGTCACAGACAGAAAATCAGGCTGTTACATACATCAGGCAGCTAGACATCTGCTGGTCTAGGTTCCTTCATTAAGGTAAATGCCTCAAGGCATTTCTACTGGACAGTCTTTCCTAAATTCAGTTCCCAATGAATGTGAAAGCAATAGATAGGCATTTCTTCAAAACAATGCCATAATCCAAATGTTCAAAATCTATTCAGATTCTTCCCAGTTACTATAAGTTAGTGACTCTTTGCTAAGCAGGATATTTTATTGTTCAACCTTCAAAGTTTACCTAAAAATTTACAGATTCTCCAAAATGAAAAGGGAAAACAAATTTTAAGACTGATAAGGAATATCTAAATATGGGCTAGGTATTAGATGGTTTTAAGGAGTTATTTTTCATTTCATTAGGTATGATAATGGCACAGTAAATAAAGAAAAAAGTTCTCAACTAGAGACGCATACTGAACTATTTATTGGGAAATGGCATGATGTATGGGATTTGCTTTAAAGTACTTCAGGAAAAAAAGGAGGGAAAGGGGAAGAAATAGATGAAACAAAATTGGCAAAATATTGATAATTGTTGGAACTGCTGAGGGGTTCTATGGGGGAAAATTTCCACAGGAAAAATGTTGTAAAAAATTGGAACATATCAATATATACATTTCAAAACAAAACAAATAACTGTATTTTATGCTAGTGTGCTGAAATAAATATTTCCTAGGCAGTAAATTAAGTTCCTAATTTAAAAATAGCTATTTTGTTAGCTGTTAGTCACAAGCCTGAGACAGTGAATCCCCATGCGCTGCACTCACGCTGGTCAGATCTGGGATGCTGACATCATCCATGTCGGAGACCACGCTCCCCCTACGATTGGAGCGACTAAAATAATCAGCTGCAGAAGCCTTTCAGTCAGGAAAAAAATGAGATGCTTTAAAAGTTAAGAAGAGAGAGAAGAAAAAGATAAGAACATTGGCATATGGGGGAAATTTTTTTTTTTTTGGTGTGTGATAAAGTATCATGAAATGAAATGAGGAAACTGCTGTGACTTACCTACTCAAGAAGGTGAGAAAGAAATGTAAAGGGTTCCTAAATGACATCACAGCTCCCTAAAATAAGCTCTTATTCATCCTAGCTAGAGTCCTATGCTATAGAGATCATCCATGTACTGCCTGAGAACCAGCATCACCCTCACCATGAGGGATTCTAGGATAGCATTTACCTAAAGCCTCTACTATATTTCACAAATGTATAATGCATTATAGCTATCAGCTCTGTTAAGCACATATATCCTGAATGTGGAATTATCTGCAGAGTATTTACTGTGCCTTTTACCAATTTCCAGAGTTTCCTCTTTTTCATATTCCTCAGGACCGAGAACTGTAGAACAAAATAATGAACGAACTACATTGGCCTCTTTCTGGTTCCCCAAACATACCCAGTGTCTTCCCACCTTCGCCGTTGGCACTGGCCTAGGAAGCTCTCCTCCCAGCTCTTCAAGCAGCTCTTCAAGCAGCTCAACTCTCAGCTCAAAGGTCAACTCCCTCGGAGAAGCCCTCTCTGATCACTCCATCCAAGGGTGATCTCTCTCTCTCTCTCCGCCACACACGTGCGCACACACGCGTGCGCGCACACGCACGCACGCACACACACACACACCACTCAATGTCTTCTATAATATCACCTGCTTTTTCTCTTCACAGTCCCCGGGTTTACTTTCTCTTTTTCGTTCCTATCTTTATCAGTTTATTTTCTATTTCTTTCACCAGGATATAAGCTCCATGAAGTCAGAAATCTGGTCTATGTGGCTTACCACATTATTCCCAGCACTTAACATGGTCCCTCACATATAACAGGTACTCCCTCCATACACATTTGTTGAATTAATAAATAATGAATATTTTTTACCTCACTTATCAGCTGTTCTTTACCTCAGCTCTGTCTGATTCCCTTGCTCAAAAACTCTTCTCTTCCAGAAAGGAATCTGGAAGCCCATCCACAGAGATGCCTTCCTTAAAGCTTACAAATATGAAGTTTTGCTAAGAGCTGAGATAATCAAGCAATAGTATTCTTGTTCACAGTAATACAACTTAGATTTACATATAATAACGGTACCCACTATCTCAGAATTTTGATAGGTATTTTCTATATAGTAATTCATTTAATCCATAATATTAAGCCTACCTACAAAGATAGTCACTACATGCCCATTGTACAAATAAAGAAATTGCCATTAACACAACTAACAGGTTGGAGAAATGGTTCAAGCCCAGGCATCATCATTTCAGAGCCCCTGCCCTTTCCACTCCATCACTTTCTGGGGTACTTTCAGGTGTCATGGACTGTTGTTTCTCCTGCAGCTCTGAGTATGAGCATTAACTGGCTTGCCAATGGACCACAACTGTCTTAATCAGATCAATGGATTTCTGGCAACAAAGCTCACAAACTCTTGCTGTTCCCCTTTTCTATGAAAACTTTGTGTTTACAATCTTTCACAAAACATGACTTGTATTAAATGACCTTCTATTTTCTTAAAGGAATTATAGCCTCTTACTTATTGGGCTCTTTTGTTTTAGCTCTAAGCTGACACACCATCCTCACCAACGTAATTTTCGAATCAATTTTTAAGTATAGCAAAAATGTCATCAGCCCTCTGTAAAATTTCTTGCTTCATCAAAAGAATAACCTGAAATTATATAATTTGTATTCTAACATAGCTATTTGTTACCTCTATAATTGTAACTCTAGTTGAATTCTAAGACCAAAATTTTTAAATTTTGCCATCAGCAACTCAAAGTATTCATGGGCCTTAAAAGATGTATAAACTATGGTTAAATTTAAATACACAGCGAAGAAAACAACTAATTAATGGCAGCATGATTTCTAATCCATAGTAATGAGTTTTAAACAATGTGGAGGCATTAATTTTGCTTGAGAAATTTTTTGGTTTTGGTGAATTGTGCACGTACATGCACGTGCATAAAATAGCAACAAAAAATTAAAAGTGAAAATCTGTCAAGTACACAATGACTAGCACATAAGAGGTGTCACTAGGAAAGCTTACATAGCCCACTAAGAAAATGTATTCTCAGGAATACATTTCTGAAGGCAAATTACTCATATAAACTAAATTTGAAGAAAACACTCATTTTGTCAAGTGCAAATTTCATTTTCCAACAGATTTCATGTGATCACACAGTGTTGCAATTTTAAAACTCATCGTATGTGTTTGCATGCAAATCACGCTCACCACACTCTCCCTTCGCCCCCGGCTGGCACGACCAGAAGGAGCAATGCTTGCAGTGTCATCGTCGATAAACTATAGATATTAAAAGCAGATAATGAAAAAGATGCAATTTCACTACAGGTCTTCCCTGACTGAAGGCACATGAGGTAAGGCTTTGGGAAGCACACAAACACTCTCCATGAGCATAATAATTAGCACCATCTATTGTGCACCATTAAACCAAAAAGCTTTTTCAAGGCATAATGAACGATCATTAAAAACCAAAAGATATTTCCAAAAAGCACAAAGAATAAAATAGCACTTCATCTTTTATTTAAGTTAAATGAACGAAAAGGGGGGGAGGCATGACTCTACTGGCTAAAACCAGCCAGGGACTTCATGCTTTTTAAACCTCTAGGCCCTTTGGGGTCCTATCAGGAGTCAATAAATACATTTAATGTTTTAGTTTGGGAGAGAAAATAAAAGAATCTTCTTAAGTGAAATAATATAAGTCAAAGACAGAATTTCCTACCGGCAAGGACACTGAAATGATGATTCTTACTGTCCTTTATTCATTCCTATGCAGCAGGTGGAGATATTTCTAATATCACCACACAGTTTTCTTCCTCTTTCACCAGCAGTGGAAGACTCATCTTCAATATATGTAGGCTGCCTCCATTCTGACATCACTAAGAAACCATTCTGGCATCACTGGGATAATAACTCTGAGCCCACTTGCAAATGAAAGAGCATTTAGCCAGCACACACGGACAAGATTCTACACTTGACTGAAAATACTACCATAATTTTGTTTGCAAGGGACCATCACAGTTGGGACACTAAAAATGCTACCAGGCCCAAGAATTGCCAAGTGGAATTTTATTACCCGGTGGGTTAAAAGTAAACTTCCTCCTTATGTGAAAACACCCGTGTAATAACTTTTTGTTAGCTATTAGAGTAGAATTCTTGATAAGTGCCACTTGGAAATGGCAGAAGAAATGAGCCGAACATATATGTAGAAGAAAGTCCATATATCTCACCTATTCCACTCCACAAAGTAACCTATGTTGACCATTAAGAAACTGCTTAATAATTTCTCCAATTTTGACACTGTCAAGAATAACAAGGTAGTTCCTAAAGTCATCATTTGTTATTGAAAATGTTAATTATTAGAGTTTTTTGGTGGGTAATATGGCAATATATAGCATAATTTAAATGTAAATACTCTGATTCCCATCATTTCATAATTAGCAATTTACCATGCAGATCTACTCATACAAGTCCACAAAAATATACCTGCATAAGCATGTTCATTGTACAAGTGTCTGTAGTAGCAAAACTCTGACAACCTAAATGTCCATCAAAACAGGAGCAATTTTTCAAATTTACAGCCCAGGCACTAATGGAATGATCCATTGCCATTAAAAAAAAAATGTGCTGACATAAACCTATCTCCAAGAGGCACTCAGTGGCAACAGTAACGGACATGGTTTACTTTTTAAAATCTTTTAAATGTCAAAAAAAGAATGAAAAAAAAAAAAGACTGACAAAAAAATGAAATAGATCTTTATATACTGATTTGAAAAGATACTTTGAGTAAAGAAAACAAGTTGAGCAGTATGTATACAAGTCATTTACATACTGTTCAAATAAAGGACACTCATATATACATGAAATATCTCTGAAAGGATATACAAGAACAGAGGTTGCATTTGGGGAATGGATATAGGAGGAAAGGGTCAGAGAACTTTTATTTTGTACTTTCCTTAAGCTAATATTACATTTATAAATTAAAAAACAAGTTCGCGGGCCTCTCACTGTTGTGGCCTCTCCCGTTGCGGAGCACCGGCTCCGGACGCGCAGGCTCAGCGGCCATGGCTCACGGGCCCAGCCGCTCCGCGGCATGTGGGATCTTCCCGGACCGGGGCACGAACCCGTGTCCCCTGCATTGGCAGGCGGACTCTCAACCACTGCGCCATCAGGGAAGCCCTAAAAAAAGTTTTAATACTCCAGAAAGACTGGGTGATTAGAATTGTCCCAGTTTTCTGTAGCAATTTTTTTTTTTTTTTTTTTTTTTTGCGGTACGCAGGCCTCTCACCGCTGCGGCCTCCCCCATTGCGGAGCACAGGCTCCGGACGCGCAGGCTCAGCGGCCATGGCTCACAGGCCCAGCCGCTCCGTGGCATGCGGGATCCTCCCAGACCGGGGCACGAACCCGTGTGCCCTGCATCGGCAGGCGGACTCCCAACCACTGCGCCACCAGGGAAGCCCTGGAGCAATTTTTAAAAGCTGACGTATTTGATTTCTTCTCCTCCCACTCCACTGATTGACAGGCTGGTAAGCAAGTGAAATGGTTCAATGTAGGAAGTAGACATGAAAAGGAGGAAGGAAAAGGATAGGGCAACCAACTCATAGTCTAAATTATCACCACTGAGAAGACAAGAATTTCCACACAAATGACAGTTATATATAAATTTTTAAAAAATTCTAATGGCACTGGTTCCAGACTCACTTAAGAAATTACGTGCTTAAGTCACATTCATACAGAAACCACCCGTTAGGACAAATTAGTTCTTGAGTTTGTGTACTGAAGCAAAATGATAATCCATGCACAATAGAGTGAAACACACCACATCCTCAATATTCTGAATGGTGAGTACAGATTAATGAAACAATCCAAAGTGTCTATAAAGCATGCAAAGAGACTAGACAGCTCACCACAGGACTGCTTCGGGCTGAACTTGTTCTTGATGAGTGAAAACTGTATTCAGATGGCTATAAAGTTTCCAAGAAGAAAGGTTTTACAATTAACGATCAGCTCCTTTTTCTGCTGGGAATACATCAGTGCCCCTGGACCTAACTCGCCCCTGGCTCTCAGGTGAAGATAACTGTTCCTCCCCGGCCTGAACTCTTCTTCACTCCCACCCTCACCATCCAGCAGCCCACGGCAGGAGGGAGAAGAAAGGCCCTGAGAAGCGCTGTTCCCAGCCTCTTCCTGAGGAACTAATGAGCCAGAAAAGAGGTTTCTCTACTTGTATTGCCTTCATGCTTTAAGCCACAGTTTCCAGCAGGTGCCTTCTCGCAGCTTGGGTGAGAGCCACCATTGGCAAGCTGATGGATCACAGCTTGTAGAGTAATTATAGGTCAGATTAAATGACTCTGTAAGTAAACTGTGCCCACCTACACACCACCCTCCTCACCACCTCCACCTGCTTAGACTTACAGTTCGAGAACCATAAGGGTTATATAATCCACCATCATACAACGACGCCTAAAGAACAAAGGAAATGCCATTTATCTATTCAGCATCAAAGTTATTTTGAAAATGACATAACTTCTTTGCAGTACCTAGTTCCAAAAGTTTTGAAGAATGGTGTTAACGTGTACAGCCTCCTGAGGTGGTAACACTCATTTATGTATGCATAAATCCCTGCGTCAGCCTCATTAAAACTTCAAACTCACACTTCATTTAAAAAGCACCACTGGTTACAGCACTGCCTTTCATCATCACGTTATGAAATTAGGAGAACATTTACGACTTTATTCTCTCAAAAGAGGAAATAGAACAGAAAAGAAAGTAAGGTACAGAAAAGAAAGTGAGGTACAGAAAGCATTTTGCCCACTGTTACGATAAAATTAAGTACAAAGCCTCAGGTTCCCAGTCCACTAGAACAGGCCACAAGACAACAAACAACACCTTGAAAGCAACCAATTCCAACTCGCACATTACACAGAGCTACTGTTTTGTCTTTCTAGTCAGCTGGCTCCATTAGAGTCTAGTATTAACATGGCCAAGGCCACAGCTGTTCCCCCCCAAAATATGACACCCCATGCATGGGCAGCCATCTCACAAAAGTATGCAAGTGTAGTGCAACCCATGCAAGTCTACCTCCTCTACAGGAAGCCAATTCTAAGCAAGGGCCTACCAACAGCCAAGCAGTATCTACCGCTATGATATGCTCATTTTTGCTCCTCAGAAGTTTTGTATTTTAAGCACAGGCAGCACAGTCTGCAGTACACATAGCATTAAAGCCATGTGTCCTTGACTATTCTGGAGGAAAGACGGCAAGCCAGAGTCAGCACCGTGACAATGGCCCCACCAGGAGTACACACGTTGGAAGAGGAAAATACACACCAGACTGGCACTTCTCAGAAGACCAGAATTTGCAGTAGGGGAGGCCTATGGAGAAAGCACATGATTTAACCCAAAGAAAAGCAACTGATAGCTATGAAGGCACCATACTCCCCAGGAAGTACTAACCCTGTAGCTCTTAGATGTTGCCAGAGGGTCACTGTATAGGGAAGAAGACTGATAAGAAACAAAACAAAATAAAACAAAACAAGCAAAAAGAAAAAAAAAAAAAGGAAAAAAGAAGAGGAGAATCAGCCTCACCATCATGCAAGTAGAAGACATATTTATTTTATACTCTATAATTCATTAGTAATTCTTGAGTGTTTAAGGCAGTTAAGTGACACACAATGTGAGAAAAACTTAATCATTAGAAATCTCTTTGAATACCAATTTTAAGGGATAAGAAAGAAAAACACTCGGAATAGTTTCCTATAAATGGGGTAAGTCCTATTGGTCTTTGAACATTAGTGTTAGGAGATGGGATGGGCACCTAAGAAAACACTCAGGAAAAGAGGGCCACGGCACAGGGAGTGTGGCAAACAGTGTCCACATCCCAGTCCCCAGCAGCTCCTGCGACATCTAATGGGCTTATCCTGATTATTGGGGAACCAGGTAAATGAGCTCTGAGTTATTGCTATAAACACTCTCCCAAATAGATTAGAAAACGTGTATTTCACAACAAGCCATGGACCAAGTGCCTTAGTTTAATTAGATAAATTGTACTGGTCACAATGAATCCACACACTAACAAGGCACAGCATTTTTAAAAAAGGAATTAAATCTTTTTCCTGATGTCATCTCAAGACACAATTTTCAGTTTTTTTCACCAAGCCCAATCAGACATGGAAAATAAGATACATAAATATCTAAGTTATGTTTTGACAACTGAATTATTTCAAATGTACTATGCGCTATATATTTAAATATGTGTTTTAAATGTATGATGTGCCAAATGCCTTGAAAAAACGAGATTCTAACATTAAATATTACATTCTTCTCATCCCACGTACAGTTTAAATTTTCACATGTATATTTTTAATAAAAGGGCATACACTGTGATATATACTGATGCCTACAACTTATTTTGAAATGCATCCCCCCAAAAAGATGGACTGATGGATGGAGGGACAGCTGGACAGATAATTACATGATAAAGGAAATATAGTAAAATATCAATTGTAGAATCTGAGTGGTAGGTACGCAGGTGGCTACTATAAAATTCTTTGAACTTTTTTTGTATGTTAAATATTTTTCATTAAAAAAACTGGAAAAAAATGGTACTCATTTTAAATATGGTGATTCAATAGTTCCCATTATTTAAAGATACACTCACACAGACTATGTGAATTCAGTTACCACAAACTAGTATATACACAGCCATTCACAGATTAGTTCTAACTAGTCAAAATGCAACAGGGGATTAGAAATGTGTTAAAGTTGGATAAAACACATGAAGCCAAAAAACTTGTGACAAACCCGAGTATAGTAGGCAGAAGTGGGTTTGCTATGTCTAAGACTGCTATAGTTTCTCTGGTCAAAGTAGAGGCCACTCTGCAAAAAGCAAAATTAAACACATTTTTCTTAGGTTAAATGCTGTTAACCTAAAAACACAGAGGCAAAATCGGATATTGCCAAAACCCTTCTCCTCCAAAATAATGATTTTAAAGCATTGAATCATATTAGGTGAAAGTGAAAATAACAACTATTTCAGGTCTCTCAAAAAAGATTAATATTAAAGATTAATATTTAAAAAATATTAATATTAAAATATTAACTATTTTCAAACCAAGTCATTGCTAATTTTTTTTTCTTTTTTTACTTTAAAAACAAGAGTATAAACTCTCAGACAAAATGGAATGGAAATAATAAATGATTTATTCTCATGTCATACTTAGAAATGTCCTTGAAAAACCCAGGATGAATGAATAATTACCACTTTTATAATCTATTTGGCAATGCCACAGAAATCATTAAAGTTATTTTTTCAAAACTCCTGGCCCTGCCCGAGGCACCAGGACTCACCTCTCCCCAGAGCTCCCAACACTGCCCCCACCAGGGCATCTCACTAATATCCTCTCCATTTCATTCTCTCCCCCTTCCTCACTGCTACCAGCCAAAGCCTCCCAACCCTCTTCTCCACCCCTCCAATGGTCAGAACCCTGCCCATGGGAACCTTGAGTTAGCAGGGAGCTTAGGACTGTACTTCCTCTGCCAGTGCTGTAGCAACCTGACAGGAAAGAGGTGTTCCTAACACCCCACATGGGCATTCTAGACATTTTTTCCTCCACAGAAATGTTTAGCAAGGTCTGCTGGAATGGAGAGCACTATTAGTTCCATAGTTTAATTACGTTATTGGTTGAAGAGTCTTCTACAAGACAGCATGGGAACTCTGCCATTGTGTACTTTATTGTTTCTACCAGAAAATTAATTTCAAGTTCCCAAAATTATAAAATCTATAAAAACAATCATTCAGAATGAAACCTATATGTGACTTTGGTACTACTTATAATACCACAACTAAATAAATTCAAATTTCTAAAATAGGTATAAGAATCTCACTAAGCCTATTCTTAAGGTATAGTCCTCCAAAGGACAGTTCATAAATGAAAATACATTGTTAACGAACTTCGTGGGACACTTTCCTAATGCTAGCCACTAGGGTTAGATATATTAACTTGATATTAAATCTTGTAAATGAAAACAAAATTATTTTTAAATAAGTTCTGATAAGTCATGTTTCAGTATATTATCAAGTTTCAATAATGCCTTAAGAGCACACCAATGCAATCATAATTCTTCAGTTCCGTAAAAGTAATCAGTGAATTTTACAGCCACACAAAATACTGTGATATGAGACACAACAGAACTAACCAGTGGGTCTTTATGAGAACCAGAAGATCTCTTCTTCATTCCATCAGAGTGACTGTCAGAATGATTCTGGAAGTAAATATTGAATACAAGGATCATATAGTGAAGTTTAAAAATAATTTAATAAAATTCATCTTAAAATCATACACAGAATGATCCACCTGAGACAGAGTAGTCTACATGCACTCTATTTCCCACCTGTTAGTAAATGATTCACTGCCCTTGGCTGGCTAAGACACACAGCCTCTCTACACACCTTCATTCCCCCTCACCTCCCCTGTGCCACCCAGCTCAGTGTCTAGTCAACTAAAAACTTAATTAGGACTCAGAGCCAGGCAGGATATTTGTGGGGGCCCTCACCCCACACCTCATTTGAGCTCCTGCCCATGGGACTATCTTCTTTAAAAAGGTATGAGTGACAAGAGAGTCTACTTCCTTCCACAGTCCTCCTTACCTAAAGGCCAAAAAACAATCCCGTGCATCAATCAAAACAAGATTGAGAACAGAAAACATGACATTGTACTGCCCAAGACAGTCCTCTTAACCCAAGTTAGTGGTCCCACAGCATGTGCTGCTCAGAGGAAAGCAGCCAACATGGTATGTATGGATTTTCTCGAGTAGCAGCAGCATCATTAGACAATAATCTGACATCTGAGTCCTTTGAAGATAGCACCGTCTCAACACATAATTTCTCCTAGGAGTACAGAGCCAAGTGTATGTGAGGGGATAGAGGACAGCAATACTACTAAACTGGTCCATTGGTAGACAAGAAGTCCAATCTAGGTATGCACCGTTGGCCTGTAATGAGGAGGTGCAGCTAGAAAGGTCCTAGCTATTAACAGTCTGCTCTACACAAATCATCTGAAACATGCACAGCTAGATCCTGAATCAGTAATTATACAGTCATTTTTCTTTTTAGAATATGCATATCTTTCCTTTTATACATTACCCTGAACATTTAAGAGCTGCTGATATAGTCTAGCAACTCAGGCAATCTATTGACATATTAACCCAAGAAAAACATGCGATAACTAAACTTCCTTGGCCAAAAATGACATACCATAAAAAAACCAAATCAAGCAAAAAATGAGTGGACGTAACTGATGCTTCAGTTGTCATCTGTCACTGCTGGGTGCTTTCACACCTGCTGGCTTGTGACACAGAACATGAAACACAGTAGGGCCTGTGCTGCCTTAGTTCAGTACGTATCAAAATACTGCTGGGAACATGTCTTCCAGGTCAATGAGTATGTGTCAGCTGGGTGGCTCATTATTTTAAGGAAAGATACTACTGCCAATCTTAGTCCTGAATAGGGAAGCAAATAATTTTTATCTGATCCTGATATTCTAAAAGACAAAGTTATTCAAGTGCTAAATTATGCCACAATTGCACAACACTAGATTTTGCTTTGTTAGTCATACATTTCCCCCAAACATCATAACAAACCTATGAAAAAGTCATAATCTATGATTAGCATCATCAGGTGTTTATAAAGTAAAACTCTACATTTAACATGAAGTTATGCACTACATACTAATGATGAAAGTCTTGACGATGTATCCTTGAAAGCATCATACTGGATTTCAGGAAAAGGTGAAAGTTGGTTGTATTTCCAAAATCAGAAATATAAAGAGGGGAAAAAGTAACATTCATAAAGTTATTAAAAATCCAGCAGTATTTTAAAAGCCCAAAATTATTAAACACAAAGGCTGTGACATTTGAATTAAAGAATATTCTTCCCCCTCATTCTTTCCTAGTATAGGTTATTGCTAAACTATATGTACAGCAAAAACTGCATGTTCTCTTTCAAAAACAGAATTTATAATCAGTAATGGTGAGATGATTCATCCCAGTACACTATAGCACAAAACACCCAAGGAAGCCTTTAAATGCAGGAATTAAGCATTCTGAAGTCAAAAGATGTTTTACTTTTTCTTATTGTGTCTGTCACCATCGTTTTCCATTATTTGAAACATGGCAAAAGCAAGGCATGGAGAGGCAATGAAGCAGGATCACATAACTAGTATAATAAAGCTTACAAAAAAAACAAAACCAAAAAGCAAACAAGCAAAAAAACAATTGCGGCATCAAAAGAGGGAGAGTTCCCTTGTATCTGCTTGTGCACACACCTGAAAAACTTCCTTCCTCAAGAACTTTCTCTATGAAAAACAGTGAACAAAACTAGAAACTTGGCCAGAGTAAAGTGTGGATTACATACATTTATGACAAGACCAGAAAAACCACATTTCATGTAGGGTCTTTACAAAAATAATATGTGTAACACCACATTTCAAATCCAAGAAACTGAATTAAATAGTAACTAACTACTCAGATTTGTGGTTTCCTAACTTTATTTTTTAAGCATTCTAGCTCAGATTTTTTTAAGCAATCTGACCCAGAAGAGCAATGTACAAAACAATAAAACAATGCATAAAACAAAAGCAATAAACAAGTTCCTCAGGTAGTTTGGTAAAAATATCTTTCTTTGGCAACTTTTATACCCATTTAGGATTCTAGGGAACACTATTCAAGAACCTGATCTAAAGTAATGTTTTCCTAAGTGTGGACTGCAACTCATTAGTAGTTCATAAAATCAATTTATAGGTTCAACCAGCATTAAAAGAAAATAGAAGAGAAAATACTAGAGTTTATCATGTACAGTAAGAGTAAATATTATTTTGTGAAACTTCTGTTTCTATAATATATTTTATATACTTATATACATACAAACACAGGCATATGTCTGCATATGTATACTGGATTATGGTGTAAAATGCATTCCTTTTATAGAGGTCGCAATTTTAAAAAGCTTAAAATACACTCAAAGATCAAATTATATAGTGTAGTTCTAATAAAGCATTAAAATAATAGTTCAGATAGAACAAAGGTCTTCCCTTCATGCCCAATGAGATGGTCATGTACAAAAGATATTGCAGGACCCCCCGAAAATATACTTCATAAGTATAAGGCTAAGTGGTATAATTTTACCACCAGTGTAAATTCAGTGAAAATGATATTGCAATAAATACTAAAAAGTGCTGGAGCAAAATATCTGCATTTGCATGCTTTTCTTATATTATCTTGAAAACAGAATATAAAGAGTGTTATTACATGTGTAAAAAAAAATCTTGTTTATCCAGAATTTTCTAAAATGCCTAAGGGTGTGCATTTGGTGGTAAATGATGTGTAATGGTAAAATGTCACTGTGGTGAATAACATTTCACTGAAAATAAAGTTTCTTCTCTATGGAAGTTTCACTTAACGTCTTTTCTCAGTTAACAAAATATCTTTTTTGTTTTAAAAAAACCCCATGATCAAAACATGTATTTCTCAAGTCACACATTCTTGCATATAAACTATTCCATTCTCCCAATCAGATAAGTTCATTGACGGGATCAGTCATGTCTTAGTTCTTCTCATCCTCTCTGTAACACCAATGGCCTTTTGCAAAAGCTTAAGATTTAACAAGTTGAACTGAAATTGACCTATTTTGATTTTCCTTTTCCAAAATACAATGCAGAGCTCATAAAGTTTATTAATTAATTAATTAAAATTAATTAAAAATTTTTTTTAATTAATTAATTAAAAATTAATTAATTAATTAATTTGGCCATGCTACACTGCTTGTGGGATCTTAATTCCCCAACCAGGGATTGAACCCAGGCCCTGGCATTGGAAGAGCAGAGTCCTAACCACTAGACCATCAGGGAATTCCCTCAGGTAATTTTAAAAATTGCTGAATCTGGTAGAAAAAATCCATAACTTGGACACCCCACTTGCTACTAGAACAACTGAGTAAACAAAAAGAATCCTCCAATATGTGCCAGTTGGTATTTATGTTATTTAAAAACAAATGATTCATCAAAGGAGGGAGAACTGAAAATATTAAGGGCTCTAGCTAAATAAAATGTTTCCAAACTTGCTATTATAATCTATCCAAAAATGTTTTTTTTAACACTCAGAAAAAGTTACCTCAAACTTTTCATTTGGAAATTAAATTTTTAAAAAGTACAGAAAACAGGTTGTAGAAACAAAGTTCAGCAGGTGTTCATTTCTGTTAGAATGGACCTATTACTCACTCAAGCCCCCAGGACTCTGTGAGTCAACAGTGAACGCACAATACTAACACGGCACATTTCTCCGGGCTACACACCATGATGCCTTTCCTTTTGGGTGTACTGGCTCTGCTCCAATGTGTCCCCATTACGTCCTTTGATGGGTTCTTCCATGGAATTAAACAGTGTAGGAGTAAGTGACAAAAAACAAATTGCAAGCATATTAAAATTAACTTCATTAAAATTATACTAAGGCAACTGATATATAAATAGGAACTGATAGAAAAAACAGTAAAAATCTCCACCAATTAAAACTGCAATGTATCTCTACCACTCTGATTCAAGATCACCTCATCTTCTAATTTTGGATCTCTTCCTTATAGTCTTCTTGTATTTCACTGTATAAAGCAGTGACCAAGCACTTTGTAAGATTTTTTTCTTTTTTAAGGTAGATGTTTTTTAAAGAAACAGATTGTTTCAGTTCTAGACTCAGGGCTTTGATTTAATCTTCCTTCCCCAAACCTACCATTCAGTCTTGAACTATCTTTGCTCTTTCTATTTTTATGGAGAATGTCTATAACACTGTTACCATCTCCAGCCCAAATAGCTTCTGGCAGGACACCTTTCAAGAAAGCAGTACCTGAAAGTTAACTGGACAAAAGGAAAGATCAAAGTCCTAAGAATGTGGCATAAAACCATAAATACATCTGCCTCATATCCAGGTACCTATATCTAATGTTCATATATCAAATACAAGGTCCAAAAGTCTTAGACATTTTAATATACAGCTCATAAGTTAAAAAAAAAAAACTGGCAGAGAAATACCAAAACCCCCCAAATAATATAGCAAATCCCAATAAAATTTAGGTCAGTGTTTTAAACCATCACAATTATTTTTACAGAGAACAAAAGTTGTCTACATATTTATTCAGTTTAATGTAGACGGTAAAGTTACTTTAAAAAGCAAATAATCTGATGAAAACTTAGAACTCCCAATATTATCTAGTTAAGAGAAAAAAGAAAAAAACTCTTATCTCAATTACATTTCTTTTAAACTATGTTATTAGTGAGCTTTCATTTCAAATCAGACATTTCCAGGAAAGTCTAAATATTTTAAATGTGCTAAATGTACACTCACACACAGTAAAGTTCCAAAGTCTCCTCTACAGGGTAAAATTTTTTGTTAATCTTTAAGTTTGCATACTGATTTTTAAAATTAGGAGCTTTACTCTTTTTCCCATAACAGCAAATTTTCATAATTACCATAATGAAATAAAATACTGTGAGAGTTCTAGTTATATCTTAAATTTATTTAATGATATAATTTCCATGAAATGAAAATCAACCTCATTACTTTATAGACACCCTGGATAAACAATTCCTTATTTATTTAATTGCAGATTTCTTTTTTGTTTGTTTGCAGATGTTTTAAAGGCCCCTAAATTAGGTTGAACTTGGATGGTTTTACCATTAGGTTAAACTAATATATAATCAAGTTTTCCATACAAATTTACAAATAATCTGCTTGATAAAAACTGTGTGAAACTTCACACTATTAACATTACAATGAAAAGTAAAGGGAAAACTCATACGTTTTTTTGAAAAGAGGAAGGATGGGATTATTTTCAAAGCCCTTAAAGGCTCAACTTTTAAGCTTCTGTTGACTAACTCCCTGTGAGAATAAAAACAATATCTCCAGGGAGAAGCATGACAAGTTTTTCTTAAAGTATTTCTCGGCAAGATCAGCTTGGTGCTTTGTAACCACCTAGAGGGGTGGGAGGGAGATGTAAGAGGGAGGAGATAAGGGGATATATGTTTATGTATAGCTGATTCACTTTGGGTTTTTTTTTGTTTGTTTTGAGGTAAGCGGGCCTCTCACTGTTGTGGCCTCTCCCGTTGCGGAGCACAGGTTCCGGACTCGCAGGCTCAGCGGCCATGGCTCACAGGCTCAGCCTCTCCGCGGCATGTAGGATCTTCCTGGACTGGGGCACGAACCTGTGTCCCCTGCATCGGCAGGAGGACTCTCAACCACTGCGCCACCAGGGAAGCCCTGATTCACTTTGTTATAAAGCAGAAACTAACACACCACTGTAAAGCAATTACACTCCAATAAAGATGTTAAAAAAACAAAACAAAAACAAACAAAAAAAAGTATTTCCCCTGCAAAATCATTCTTAAATTACTGATTAGATTTCTATAAAGGCTTTTTAATATTCTTATAAATCTAAATTTTTATAATTAACCAAAATACTTATGATTCAAGAATTAGTTTACTAACTTATTCTAAAAAGACAGTAGATTACATTCACCAATAAGAAATATAACCAGAGTAAAAGACTATTTAAGAATACAAACACATCAATAATTAGTATACCAGAACACACTCAGTTTAATATAGAGTATTTTTATACATTATACAAGATAGGAAGAAAACTAGACCTGGGGAGAGTTAACCAATATAGACCTTAGCAAGAAAAGATAATTTTACTGATGAAAAATCTAGATGTAAGTACATATACAATATTATCAATGTGTAAATTAAAAAAGCATTGCTCTAAGGTTTAAACCACAATTCTTTAAGAAGAGACTCAGTTTCCTGGCACAATATGCAAGCCTTTGATGAGCGATTTCTCATTTATCTTGATTTACAATGATGTACGCTAAAAACCTGAGACAAACTACAAAATGTTAATCAAAATGTTGAAGCATGATAATTTCCATAAGTATGATAAGACAGGCATTTTTAAAATCAGAAGCTCAATTTTCCCACTGAATAAAAACTATAATTAGTCACCCAAGCTCCAAAATAATAAATTTTATTTAATAAATTGTCATTTTAAAAAATATGAAAGTAGGAAAAATCTGAAAGCTAGAACCATGCCGATGTTATTCTATAAAATTAACCTTATTATTTTGTGATGGTTTTCCAAAATCAAAGGTCCTTTTATAGAAAAAGTGAATATATATGTTAATAGATGAAAATATTCATGATTTTAGAACTGATTTACTTACAGCAATAATTTGAAAGCATCATTTTCCAATGAAATAGCTTTGCCAATATTTCTGTGTTTTAAAGAAAGGCAGGGGCTTCCCTGGTGGCGCAGTGGTTGAGAGTCCGCCTGCCAATGCAGGGGACACGGATTCGTGCCCCGGTCCAGGAAGATCCCACATGCCGCGGAGCAGCTGGGCCCATGAGCCATGGCCGCTGAGCCTGCGCGTCCGGAGCCTGTGCTCCGCAACGGGAGAGGTCACAACAGTGAGAGGCCTGCGTACCACAAAAAAAAAAAAAAAGGCAAAGGGATAGCTTTGCTATGGGGGTGTAAACAACTTAAAATACCAACCCTGTGACTGCCAAGACTTCGAATGGACAACGCATCCTCAACTCCCTGATAAAAATAAAAACAAACATAGTAAAGGTGTGTGAGTGACCATGGCAAGTTGATGAGGAAAAGTATTAGAGGCAAGTTTGTAGGTTATTACAAACCAGAGAAGGACGATGATGACTGGACCGGTGGGAATACCTGGCCCTTTCCAACTCATCCTGGGAAAGGAGAAAGTACATGGAGAGTTAATCACTCAGCTGAGGGCTGTTGGTCAGAACAGCTGAGCACAGCAGCACCTTCCCCACAGCAGGCGGTAGGGACAGCTCAGCCTCAAAAGCTGGGTTTGGGGCTGCCAGTCCCTCAGTTGGAAAGAAAGTAGAAATAGTCTTGGCAGTGTTTTTATTTGAACAAGTGTGTGTGTGTATCTATCATGTATCTATCTATCTATCTATCTATGGATAGATAGATAGATAGATAGATAGATCTGACCACTTGTAGAAGGTACTCTATATATGACCAAGGGAGTTCAATGTACCAAGATAAAAATAAGCAAGTATACTTAAACAGAAATTGAGGTCAGCATTAAAAGCAGACTGTGATCTATTTTTTCATTATGATGTTTACCCAAGGCAGAAAGAAATGTTTATTTTATTACAGATGTGGTTTAAGGTGACAATGTGTTGCTTTAAAAAGATTTGGGTTATAATTTTGTGCTCATCGCAAAAAAAGTTTTTTCTTTTTCTTTTACCACTCTAACTGGAAAAGAAGAGAACAACTAAATGAAATAGCCCCTGACTGTGTGTTGTTAATATGAAAAACTACTTAAAATTAGAAGAAATCGAATAAATATTTCAGAATTGATAAAGTTACTCAAAGTTATGCCTTATGAAGATTGTTAAAAAAAAAACAAACCTCCAAACAGTTGACTAATTAAACGTAATTCTAAACTTTTCCATATTCAGCTATTAGCACTGGAGCATTAAGTACAGAGTCGTGAAATTAAATGACTAGTCCCTAGAACCTAATCAAGTGTAAGAAACTTCTGATCAGAATTTCAAAGTCCCAAGTGTTAAAGTAATTTGCATTGACTAAGAATCTACACAAAACTGTCCAGCTGAGTTCATAGCTAATCAACACTGCTTTTTCCAAAATGCATCAATCCTTCAACACCCCATGACGATACAGCACTATCATCATGCAGGCAGAGCAGACGGCTATGCCTGACCATTCATCTCAAATCCAGAAACAGTAATTCAACTGAAACACCACAATTTAATGTTTTATTTTGGTCATGATCTTTGAATACAAGTCCAAAAAACTCTTGGTTGTCATGTGCTGTGTACATTGATGCATTTGATCAAATCTGTTCAGAAGTCAGTTTATAAGCACCAGTATGATTCAATAATTCAATATCCAATATGGTGTTCTGATCTTTAGGAATTCATCACCGATTCACATTTTTGTTATGTAATAGACACATGTAATCTGTAAGGAGCCAAGCAAGTTTCTTCCCTTTCTTTGATTATCAGGTGATATACCGCAAAAGTTTGGGGAGCATGTGTGTTAGCCCAGCAGAGTAGGTACAGCTTATTAAGTGGTAACCAGTTCTAGGCTAGTTAGCTTGGTTAGTATAAAGAGCCTTGTGCTACACAGGCAAGTTAATTCTACATGCCCCCTCCCAGTATTATTTGGGGTACTAGGGTGACATACATGGTTTAATGCTCAATCTTTATTCTACCCTTTCTTTTCATTCCACCTACTACACAAGAGCACTCTAAAAAACCCGCCTCTACACATGAAAAGATACTCAACATCATTAATTATTAGAGAAACGCAAATCAAAACTACAATGAGGGGGCTTCCCTGGTGGCGCAGTGGTTGAGAGTCTGCCTGCCGATCCAGGGGACACGGGTTCGTGCCCCGGTCCGGGAAGATCCCACATGCCGCGGAGCGGCTGGGCCCGTGAGCCACGGCCGCTGAGCCTGCGCGTCCGGAGCCTGTGCTCCGCAACGGGAGAGGCCACGACAGTGAGAGGCCCGCGTACCACAAAAAAAAAAAAAAAAAAAAAAAAAAAACTACAATGAGGTATCACCTCACATCAGTCAGAATGGCCATCATCAAAAAATCTACAAACAATAAATGCTGGAGAGGGTGTGGAGAAAAGGGAACCCTTTTGCACTATTGGTGCCAATGTAAATTGATACAGCCACTATGGAGAACAGTATGGAAGTTCCTTAAAAAACTAAAAATAGAACTACCACATTACCCAGCAATCCCACTACTGGGGATATACCCTGAGAAAACCATAATTCAAAAGGACACATGTACCACAGTGTTCACTGCTACAGTATTTACAACAGCCAGGACATGGAAGCAACCTAAATGTCCATTGACAGATGAATGGATAAAGATGTGGTACATATGTACAATGGAATATTACTCAGCCATAAAAAGGAAAGAAACGGGGTCATTTGTAGAGATGTGGATGGACCTAGAGTCTGTCACGCAGAGTGAAGTAAGCCAGAAAGAGAAAAACAAATATCGTACATTAATGCATATATATGGAATCTAGAAAAATCGTACAGATGAACCTATTTGCAGGGCAGGAATAGAAACGCAGACGTAGAGAACGGACATGTGGACACAGTGGGGGAAGGGGAGGGTGGGACAAATTGGGAGATTAGGTTTGACATAAATACACTACCATGTGTAAAACAGATAGCTAGTGGGAACCTGCTGTATAGCTCAGGGAGCTCAGCTTGGTGCTCTGCAACGACCTAGATGGGTGGGATGGGTGGGGGAAGGGGGAGAGGGAGGTCCAAGAGGGAGGGGATATAGGTATACATATAACTGATCCACTTAATTGTACAGCAGAAACTAACACAACATTGTAAAGTAATTTTACTCCAATAAAAAATTAATTAATTAAAAAGAAATTAAAAACCTGCCTCTAAAGAGCACAGCCCATTAAAGATGCAGCTGACAGATGAATTCATATTTATTCTGAATTATACCTATTATAAAAATAATCCTAAATAACAATATCTTATTAAGTATTGATATACCCCTAGATTTACACAGCTTTCTTTTTAGCCCCATTTGAAAAAAATGGCCTAAAAGGAGTTCAGAAGAACTACAGAATAAAATGTAAACCCATACAGGCTGGTTAATGTAAACTGAGAGAATACAGTTTATTCCATAGTCATAAATGACCCCTTAAACAACCACTATCCAACAGAACTTTCTGTGACAATGGAAATGTTCTATGTTTGTGCTGTCTAGTATGGTAGCCACTAGCCACATGTGGCTACTGAGCACTTGAACTGCTAGAAGTACAACTGAGGAGAGAAATTTTTTATTTTAATCAATTTAAATCCAAACCTAATTATCCACATATGGCTAGTGGCAACCATACAAACAGTAAGGGAAGCTCAAAGCAAATTCTTATTACACCAAAAAAGACTCAAAGCACACATTTTACTAAGAGTCTGCCATGGAGCGCTACTCTTCTACAGAAAGGCAGGTATTCAGGTAGTCTTAAATTACTCCCTTTACCTGGAATACTTTTGCACAGTGGCAAATAGGAAGAAACAGAAGGAAACCCTTGTATAAAAGAAAAGACCCTAGCACCAACTCTAGAATTATTTTTAACAGCTAGAGGATTCTTAAAGATCATCTAGTCTGGGCTTCCCTGGTGGCGCAGTGGTTGAGAGGCCGCCTGCTGATGCAGGGGACACGGGTTTGTGCCCCAGTCCGGGAAGATCCCACATGCCGCGGAGCGGCTGGGCCCGTGAGCCACGGCCGCTGGGCCTGCATGTCCGGAGCCTGTGCTCCGCAACGGGAGAGGCCACAACAGTGAGAGGCCCGCGTACCAAAAAAAAAAAAGATCATCTAGTCTGATCCCTTCATTTTACAGTACAAAAAACCCTGCAGCACAAAAAGATTAGGAATCAACAAAGTCAGAAAGCTGGGATCAGCATTCATATCTTCTAACTCACCAGACCATTGAACCTATACCGGCTAAATCCAGACTGATTACATAGAAAGAACATGAAGAAAATGGCAAGGTATCCCGGTTTTTACTCAGAGCTTTCTCCTCCTCTGGAATACAAAAAAAGAAAAAAAAAAAGCTTCCTTTTGCAGTTATTTCTGGGGTAGTATTGAAACTGCCAATTGGCTTTTCTTGAATTACTAGCATCAGAAAGCCAATAGAAAAAATTTCAGCAAACTGTGTTCTTAGGTACCAATTACAAGGCAGAGTATCCCTCTCTTCCACGTCAGGAAAACAAAACATTTTCATTGTCCTGGGAGTCTCCTTATTAGTTTAAAGGATCCAAAGTTGAACGAACAGGACAATGCCTTTAAAGATGGATATTTATCGTTAAAGGTTTCTGGAAAATTATGTTTTGATACGTTCAAGTTAAATTAATGGAAATAAAACATATTGGGTTTTTTTTTTTTTTTTTTTTTGCGGTATGCGGGCATCTCACTGTCGTGGTCTCTCCCGTTGTGGAGCATAGGCTCCGGACGCGCAGGCCCAGCAGCCGTGGCTCACAGGCCCAGCTGCTCTGCGGCACGTGGGACCCTCCTGGACCGGGGCACGAACCCGTGTCCCCTCATCAGCAGGCGGACTCCCAACCACTGCGTCACCAGGGAAACCCCATATTCTGTTTTTAAAAGTTCACTTGGAGTGAGGATGAAGTGGTTTTATTAAAAAAAAAAAAAAAGCCCACAACCCTGTGAATACACCTGGCCATCTTCTCTGACAACAAATACTTAATTCAAGGCTGCAGCCATTCCCTCAGTTTTAAATTAGGAAACTTGAGAAACTGCATTTACTCTTTCAGGTCACCAACACGCCACTGCTTCAGACATCCAGTTTATAAACAGAAGCACTGGCTAACCTAAGACCAACTGGAAGCCCGGAGAGACATAGGCCCTTTTCTTCTTGGTCCTTCTACCTCCCGCTCCATTATTCACACATGGGGCACCCTCTCATCCCTTAGAATTCTGTGTCTGTCACAACGAAGCAAGTTGTTTACTTCACCAATCCTTTATCACCTATCTATAAAATGGAAATAATGTACCTATCTTATAATGGGGAATGAACACATATATAAAAAGCATGAGCACAGTGTTGGCACACAGATATGCACTCAACAATAGCTTCATTCCTGAGCCTCACGCCCTCGGGTTCCCTATTCACATCCCAACAGCCTACCCCGAGATGAAAAAGTAATAAAATTAGGAGAAATTTTTAATATAGTAAGATTCTTCCTTCTAATAACTGACAATCCAATTGTTTGTATATACACTATTTCATTATAAATTTATTAGTAATTTATATTTTATATTGTGACTATCACATGCCAACTTATACTATAAGCGCATAGACAGAAAGCAGCCAGAGAGACAAGGATAAGGTAAGAAGTGAGAGGAAAAATCAGTTTTAAAGCAGTAAAAGCAAGTGTCAGAAGGGGTTAGAGTGTTAATTATTCCCATCCGAAACTAAACCCCACCTTCCCTGCATGTCCAAATCCTACCTATTACTGAAGACTTGGGTTAGTTGCCACCTGTATTTTAAGCCTCTAACCCCCTTCCATGAAAATCTAGCATGTTCACTGCCTGACCTGCACACCTTTCACAGAGATAAAAAATATGTTTATCTTCATGGCCTTTAAACATAGGAATCAAATATTAAACTTCTAACTTAGACTTTTCTTCTTATTTAATGTTTTGGTCTGCCCTAAGACATTAAAATCTTAGGCAATTTAATTTGAGAACTATTATACACAATTAAAAGAAGAAATTAATATTTCCATTTTTGTAAGTAAAACCGATTTCTTATATTCACACCAAACATTTTTAAGACATCATCAGTAATATTAAGCCAGTTACATGCAGAAGACACTCTAAATAAAAATAATTAAGCTAGCTTTAGTAACAAGAAAGGACAGGTTCCACTCCAAAATAACAAACACATACATGAGGATTCGCTTAATTTTAAGCAACCAAACATCTTTTTTCTCTCTTTTCTAAAATATCACAATGAGAAGTATGATAAAGTTTTAAATGTGTAGGTCAATACAGTCATAAATATTTTCATTCTGGTTATACCTTAGAATGCTATTCTAAAAGGGATTTGTTTATGAAAGTCGCTTGTTCAGCAACAATTAGATAGTGGTTCTTAACCTTTTAGGATCACAGACTCCTCTGAGAATCTGATGATAAAAATGCCTGTGGGCATTTCACATGAAAACATACATATACTCAAATCCTTGCCTGAGATTTTAAGGCTTCATGCCCCATCCCCCATGCCTATTCACATACCAAGCTAACAACCCCTGCAATAGGAGGCAGCTGGGAGACTTATCAACACTGAAAAAAGTTCAAATTTAAGAATGATTCACAGTAACTAATACTCTACTGGTTGCAGTTTGTTCTTGTAGCTAACAAATTTGGGAGTGATGGTAAAACAAAAAAAGTAATTTTCAGAGGAGATGAAAGAATGACTTGGGTCATCCCTCAATGAAAACCCTACTGACTTAGTTTTTTTAAAAAAAGAGAGAAAGGAAGAAGGGAACAGGGAAGGAGAGGCAGGGTGGAGGGCAGTGGAAGGAATGAGAGGGGTAGAGGGACAAATCTGAGGGACAGAAGAACAAACCCATAGAAAGAAAACACATTCATCTACTCAATCTTTCTTGGTCAGGAGCATTCATGAGATGAGTGTGAGGCTGTAACTACAACAGAAATGGCTGGACTCCAAGCACACACTTGGTCCACTACAGGCAGAAGAGACACTCTCTGACCTTTAGGTTCAAACATGACAAACACTCCTACTTGGCAAACGATTAGTCAATGTTTTACTTTGAGACTGCATATTTCAGCAACTGATCACAACATGCAGGGCAGGCAATCCTGGCCTACCAGCCACTTCTGAATCTGTCCCCATTTCCGATCAAAGGAATGATAAGAGTGCTACAAATGCAAAAGTTTCATAAACTAAAGCATCCAACATACTGCATTCTATGAAAAGTCTTAAATTAATCACATACATTTGCTCTGAACAGCAATGATTGTTAATTCAAAGTTGTTACACATTCAAAATACAGAACATACTAAGCTAAATATGCTCAATAATAGAGATATATGGTCCTCTGTAGTTTAGAGAACTATAAATAAAACTTATACTTAATAACGGTATCCTTATAATTTTAGGAGTATAAAAGACAATACATTGTCACATTTTCATTTCAAGCCAAGAATTGCATTCATATTTGAAGCTATGAGGTTAAAAAATTTAGCAATATATTAACTGCTTTTGGTTTTGTTTTTGAGCTGTGACAATATGGACTCTATGCACATCTCTTTAACACATTAACAGAAGATCCACCACCAACCTCAAAATAAAGTGTTTAATACTGCCCTGCAGGTTTTACACCCCACTTCGTACTAATACAACATCAGAAATATTTTTTATGGGAATTTTCGGAGCTAGGTCAATGTCAGAAGGAAAGAGTAAAAAAGAGTATTTGTTTCATTTTAAAGCAACCCAATTTCTATATGCCTACTTAGAAAAAAATTTTTTTTGCTTTTCTTTCCAATAATTAAAACATATTGAAATGTATTAACTATAGAAAAGCATAAGAACATAAAACCAATCATAATTCCACCATAGATAAACCAAAGTACTGGTAGTAATCACGTCTTTCCAGTAGTTTTTGACCTATATACAGATACTAGTTTTTGTAACACAAAACTGGAGTTCCACCCATCTTACAGTTGTGCTTTTTTTTTTCATTTTCTTAGATGAATATTTTCTTCTATTATTAAATATGCTTACAAACTGTAAGGTTGTATGATTTCAGTTTTACTATACAGACATCATAACATAATTAATCAAAATTCCAGGACATTTAGGACCACAGGAAATAACTTTGTCATCGCTAAGCCTACTTTAGCTGTTACAAGCACTTATTACACAATAATAACTTATAATGAGTAAGAGCTATATATGTGTTTGCTGTTATGATTTAAAACAAATATTGCATTTAACTTGCTGACATAAATGGCTTGTTAAAATATATACATCAGGTTACTCTATTCCCAGTGTTTCAGAAGAAACCAGTTTTACTTCAGACGGAAACTAGGCAAGTATTGATATTTTTGAGACCAACACTAAATCAGGGTTATCCATCCAAATTACCTCTTTTTGTTGCCGTTCCAATTCTCTCATGCGGATATCTCTTGCTTCTGCTCGGGCAGCCCGTTTTGCTGCCAGTCTTGCCTCTGCCTGAAAAGTAATGTAAAGATTCAGCTTTATTTAAAAACCACCACCACCAGCACCACACCTGTACATCAGCTTGGAGGACAAGGAACCAATGGGACATTACTTCCCAAAGAGGGTGGGGGGCAAGATGTCGTCCACCAGCAGCCTGACTGACTTCTTCCATCAACATCCCGTCCGTACTCACTTCTTTTCCTAGTCCCAGAGTCTCTCCTGAAATCTGGGCCTTTACCGTCAACTGCTTGCCTTGATTACACATTCAAAACATTTCACACAATTCATTATATGTTTCTATGCACTTGCTTTTTCCAGAATTTTCTTCCCCATCAATTCAATCATACAGATTAGAAACTGCAGGGCCAGCCTCTATTTCACTTTGGACCTTGCCAGTATTCCCTCTCCAAGTCCTGTCAATTCTGGACCACTGAGTTTCTCTCCAACCCATCTCAGGTTTCTTTATGCTCACTGTTCCTGCTTGTTTCAGGAACTCTTCCTCTCTCTCTCTCTTTCCATTGAGATATAATTCACACACCATCAAATCCACAACTTAAAAAGATACAATTCAGTGGGTTTTCAAGTACATTCACAAAGTTGCACAATTATCACTACTATCTAATTCCAGGATACTTTCATCACCCCAAAAGGAAAACCTGTACCCATCAGTCGTCACTCCCCGTTACCCAAACCCAGACCCTAGCAACCACTAATCTACTTTCTGTCTCTATGAATCTGCCTCTTCTGGACATAGCATATAAATGAAATCATACAATAGGAACTCTTTATCTCTTGTTTGGATACTGCAACAGTCTCCAAATCCATCTACCCAACTCCAGATTCTGCCCTTCAATTCATCCTCTATGTGGTTACATGATTGCCAGTCTGCCTTTGTGTCTGATCATGTCAATCATTCTGCTGTGTAAAATACTCCAGTGGCTCCCCATTACTCATGGTTAAAGCAAAAATTCCATAGACTAGCACAAAGAGAAGACAGGAGACGAAAAGCAAAAGCAGAGATTAAGGTTTCTCCCAGTCATCTCTCCACCTTATTTCCCATTACGTGCCCCACCTGTGCCAGCCGCATCCACCTCCCTCCACTCCTGGACTCCATCTCCTGTGCTGGGAGGTTAAGCCTCTCTTCACAGACTGCTGGCAGGAGGTATTCTCCCTTCTCTCTTCTTCAGCTACCGTGCTACCTTCTATGAAGGGTTCCCCCAGTCCCTCTTTCACAGAGTAATACCCTATGGACATGTGCCTACTGTGGCTTATTACACTGTATTAAATGTACTACATGGTATTATATGGTATTAAAATTACATACTTCTGTCACCCCACAAATGTCATGCCTCCGTGCCTGCTAAATAAACAAGAGATTTTCAGGTCATGGGCCAAAGTATCGAGGAAATGAGCCAACGAAACAGCTTGATGTACCACATGAAACAAAAAAATCTTCTCTCTGGTTTCTCTTACGGTGGTTTCCTCAGTTCTTGGCCACATCCCAACTCTGATTCAGATCCCCTCTCTTCTGATAATGACAGTAGCTGCTGCTTCTCATGCTGTTATATTTGTGCCTAAGTCTCACACTAGGAAGAGACTCAGCCAATGTTTAAAGTGGTCTACTGTGTGTAAGCAATTATACTGAGCACTGAAAATACAGAGTTAAGACATGCCACCTCTGCCCTGAAGACGTTCACAAACTTGCCAAGGGAGACAAACACAATGTTTAAAGGGAAGGAAGCATGCAGGGAGGAGCAATTAGTTTTGCCTGGCAAGGTCACAGCAGGCTTCTAAGAAGAGGAGACAGTTTAATGGTTACTACTTTTTCAACTACCCCAATTTTGGCGATTTCCTAGTCTGTTTAACTGACCTTTAAGTAGCAAAAAAGCTGCAAAGTGAACGGCAATCTGCCAACTGAAAGCTCTCACACTGTCATCACCAGAGCAATTAGTGTTCTCACATGAATTTTACATTGGCCTCTATCATTAAAAACCCTACATTCCCCACCTTCTTTACCCCTCTATGAATGGTCACCATTTTCTTACCAGAGTTTGTATTTTATAGAGAAAGACTTCAAGGCTAAGTTATGCTTCAGCAGATAACAAATACGTTTTAAAATTACAAAGTATCATTTTTCTGGGAAATATTTTCAAATCTCTCTTTTTAATTTAAGAAAGCCACAGCAATGTGTAGGAATTTTCACTTACACTTATATTATATTATATTATATTATATTATATTATATTATATTAGCTTTGCACTTGTAGATTCCCTTAGAAATTTATTGAGAATGTCAATTTCATCCTCCTGAGATCTGTGGCCAATTCTGCACAATCTTTTCTAAAACAGGACTTCTCTCACCAAACCTAAATTATAGGTAACTGAAATCTATTCTCTAATACAACTTCTTGCACAACAAAAGGACCTACTGTATAGCACAAGGAACTCTACTCAATATTCTGTAATAACCTATATGGGAAAAGAATCTGAAAAAGAATGGATATATGTATAATATATGTATAACTGAATCACTTAGCTGTATACCTGAAACTAACACAACACTGTAAATCAACTATTTAAAAAATTAAATTTAAAAATTAAAAAAAAAAGGAAGGGACCTAACTGCTGTATAACAGAAAGAACATGGGCTTCAGAGCCAGAAAAACATCCTTCTCTTTGTTACTTAGCCAACTTTATGCAAAACTCAGATATTACCTCCCTTGGAGTTGGTATTAAATAAGGCAAGCTTTAAAAAGGTAAAGAGGATTTAAAATTACTTTATCTGTTTTTTTTCGGTACATTGCTTCCACGTGCCTGACAGGAGTAGCAAGGAGCTAACGGTGATTCCAATCTGGTAAGACAAGACGTGTACTCTATTCTTATACTGACATATTTTGAAATAGTCAAATTATAGGTACACAAAGCATACTTCTAAGTACCAACACTAGCACTTTCCCCTCAGAATACTATTGCGTAAAAGAGCTACTGCAAATTCGTTTTAACCCACCCTGACAGATATAAAATAAAAAAGATAAAAAACTAAAGGACCACGAGGATTTAACTGAGTTCAAAACAAAGTTGGCTAAAAAAAAAATAAACATAGAATCACCACTTGATCCAATAATTCCACTTCTGGGTACATACAACAAAGAGTTGAAAGTAGAGACCCAAACAGGTTCTCATTTGTACACCAATGGTCATAGCAGCATTATCCATAATAGCCAAAAGGTGGAAACAACCCAAATGTCCATCAGCAGATGAATGGATAAACAGAATGTGTTATGTACATACAATGGAATATTATGTAGCCTTTAAAAGGCTACATGATAGTAATAATTTAATAGTAAATTTTGACACAGGTTACAACATGGATGAATTCTGAAGATGTTTTTTTAAAATTACATTTTATTGGAGGACTTCCCTGGTGGCGCAGTGGTTAAGAATCTGCCTGCCAATACAGGGGACACAGATTCGAGCACTGGTCCAGGAAGATCCCACATGCCACGGAGCAACTAAGCCTGTGCACCACAACTCCTAAGCCTGGGCTCTAGAGCTTGCGAGCCACAACTACTGAAGCCCGCACGCCTAGAGCCTGTGCTCAGCCACAAGAGAAGCCCACCGCAATGAGAAGCCGGTGCACCACAATGAAGAGTAGCCCCCGCTCGCCACAACTAGAGAAAGCCCGTGCACAGCAATGAAGACCCAACACAGCCATAAACAAACAAACAAACAAACAAATAAATAAAATATATGAGGAAGTTGAGTCTTAAAAAAAAAGTTTTACTGGAGTATAGTTGTTTTACAATGTTGTTGAAGACATTATTAAGTGAAATAAGCCAGACACAAAAGGACAAATATTAAATGATTCTGCTTATCTCAAGGATCTAAAGTAGTCAAATACCATGGAGACAGAAAGTAGAACAGTGGTTTCCAGGGGCTGGTAGGGACAAGGGAATGGGGAGTTATTATTTAATGGGTACAGAGTTTCAGTAAGGATGATGAAAAAGTTCTGAAGATGGATAGTTGTGATGACTGCACAGCAATCTAAATGTACTTAGTGACACTGAACTGTATACTTAAAGATGATTAAAATGATAAATTTTATGTTATGTTTATTTTACCTCAAAAAAAAAGGTTAGTTAACTTAAAAGTTAGCATAAGACATGAATGAAATCAGAAGTATTCAGGAGCCTAAATCATTTAAGTATTTGTATGGTCTTTAGGCTGACATGACCCAAACTTTTAAATCAAGTTAACAGGAAAATTCAGGAACTGGAAATTCAGGTTCAGAAGTTACCTGTGAAATCCAGTAAGTACTGGACCAGGTTTCTAAACATTATTCTGATCATTATGCTTTCAAATATTAGGCACATAAAAGCTGATTAAAGGAAATATGTAATTGGATAGGTATAGGAATTTATTCTTCCTAGAGCAGTGAAAATGAAAACACAAAAAAATAAAGATATGTTTGGATAGAAATAAATCTATTTCTCACTAAATGCTTGGGGCAAGTGGAAAAACAAAATGACAGCAAAAACCATGGGCCTTGATCACTCATGGAATAAACGCTTTAGATTGTGTTAAATCATAAACCTTATACATTCGTTGAATGTTCACTTTATCACTCAACTAATAACTAGGAACCATACAATGGAAAAGATGAGGACTAAACATGTACTATGGTTTGAGTGCTTCTACATTAGGGACTTTTCCTCTAACATCAGAATTTTGTATTATGTTGTTTGGGGATGTAAAAAAAGAAAAATACATGAGATGCAATAAAAAGACAAATACGGCTGACCCTTGAACAACATGGGTTTGAACTGTATGGGTCCACTTACACACGGATGTTTTTCAATAGTAAATACTACAGAACTACATTATCCACAGATCAGAGGAACCCCAGATATGAAGGGCCAACTGTAAGTTACAGGGGGATTTTTGACTGCAGGGAGGGTCGGCATCCCTAACCTCCTCATTGTTCAAGGGTCAACGGTAACTCCATTTTAGAA